AGAAAAAATAATCTTGATCCGAACAGCTGTTCGTTATTTCATAAATGATCATGTGATAAAAATTGGACGAAAACTTGACAAAAATCGCACAAAACTGTGTTTTTGAACATCTGTAGTTTTATTTACAAAGTAGTGAGGCCATATTTTAATGGCTAAAGACACTCTTGCCAATCCAGTGAATACATTAAAATGACTTGGTTCTTGATAGGTACTCTCGTTTTCCTGGAGAAGATTGCGTAAAATGCCATCTTGTGTGTTACAGACAAACAGACAGACAGACAGAAATTTTTATGAGACTTGTGTCGGCTTCTTTAATGTATAAAACGTAAAAATAACAACAAAATTTATGATTCTGAGCAATGTACAGACAAAACTCTAATTTTATTTATATAGATATAGCCTAATGTATTTTATACAAAAATAGTAGGCCTATCTCCTAAATTAAAAAAAATTGAAATTAGTGTCAGAAAAAAACCTGATTTACACTACTTCTTGGAGTGCTCGTGCTTATTTCGAATCTCCAACTCATAAAAACTTAAAATGATAAAAACTTAAAGGAAAATTTAATTTAGCATTATTCAATTTTTCTCAAATACAAAAATAGATTACAATTAAAATAGTTGAAGTAAGCTAATTTAATCATGATACAAAATATATTAAAAGCGTATACTTCTTTTTAGTTCTAATCACTGTTTAGGGTTACTTTTAGCGAATTTCCCTATAGGGAAGTAGCTATTACCGTAGGTGGCATGGTAAGACCTAGGCCCGGGACCTTTACTTTTTCATTTTGATGTCCCCAGAGGCCAAAAACACCATTCGTTTAAACTTTTTTATATATATGTGTGTCCGTGAACGCGATAACTTGAGTAATTTTTGTCCGATTTTGATGAAATTTTGTTTAAAGGTGTAAAGCGGGATAAACTTGAATGAGTTTGCGAACCAGCTTGATCAAATTATGGGAACTCGGTTTTACCACTCTGGACCACTCTGGGTTACTCTGGTTTTTGTTGGGGGGTTTTATAGGGTAAAAATTGGTTTTTCTCACTTTTGACCCTCAAAACACAAAATTTCCCAATTTCTCTTTAGACCTTTTTAAAGAGCTTAAAAAACAAATAATTTAGTATGTCAAAGTATTTTTGTTCGGTTATTGGTAACGGAGAAAATATAAAAAAATTGTAAATTTAAAATTCCCATGTTATTCTTATGGAGAATATTGTAAAATGTTGTAGTTTGCTTGTTTATGGATATATTTTGATCAAACTTGGCAAGTTAATTTATTTTACACTAAGCTATTAATATTTGACTAAAAAACACACATTATTAGTTTCCTTGTAGCAGCAAACCTAGGTACTCGTTAAACCTTATGTTATTTAAATATATTTAATGAAAATCAATTCAGAGAAATGGAAATTCGCTTAGTCGGCAGGTTGGCTGCGGCGGGGTATTTTAATAAACACCATGGTACCCTGTTTAAAATAATTTTAAACATAAAATTATTTTAAACAGGGTAGGCCTACTATGGTATTTATTATTTCACTTGTAATATGTATGTAAAAAAGGCCCTCTCATCTAAGCCCTAGGAGGATTAAACATTAAGGAGAGGGCACTCGAATAGGAATACACATGTTGCGGTGAAGCCAGCTTTAGCAGAACACTAGAGGGGCACGCGGAGCCGTAGAGTGGCAAAAAGCCGCTGCTATAACATGGGAGAGATAGGGAAAAACGCGACGCGCGCTGTTTCGAATTAAAATTGCCGCTAAACTAAAACACCTGTGTTATTCACCGATGGCATTCTTAAAGTAAATTAAATTTCCTATCGAACGGTGTCAATCATTCATATAAAAACTATTATTTATTATTTATTATTGAAGATCAAAGTTGAAAGAATTGGCCTGGACTTTGAACATATGATTACTTTAATTACGTTTTTGAAAAAAATATGATGTATCTACACAAATTAACAATTTATTCGTGTTCCTTAAGAGTTTATCGAAATAAAAAATATATATTTACCTATATTTAAAAGTGGTATTTAGAAAAATAATTACAATAAAGTTTATTTTTAATTTTTTCAGTTTATAATACAATCTTGCTAATTATAGGTTAAAATGAAAATTTTTATTCGGGTGGTGAAATACATTTTAAACTTGCATTTTTCATAGTTTTCTCGATTTTTTAATATCAGTTTTTACTAGTTTTAAGGCATTTATGTGCTAGGCAGGTGGCAGGTGATTTTAAATAGCCAAAGTTAAGAAAAAATTCAAAGCCGCTCTAACTTTGTTTACACCAACAGCCGTTACAATTAAATTACAAACATAAAAAGTAAAACAGTTTCTTGGCAATCAAATTCTTGATTTTTTAATATCATATTGAACTATATTTGATCTGTTTGCCCAAAGAAACTTCGAGTAAAAAGTGTAAATGGTCAACAATCATCTTCTGACCGCCAAAGTGCGTTTATCATTCTTTTAAAGGATTAAAACTTAAGAAACATTTTCAAAAACATATACAGTACTACTCATGATTTAAGTTTTAATATATGAACAGTAAAATCCATTGGTGATATGGCGGGATTTGAACCCGGGACCCCAGGAACCGGAGTCCCGCGCTCTGGTAAGAGTATTTATAAATAATACACAATATAAGTATGGCAAAAAATAAAAACAAGGACAACGAATTCTAAAAAACAAGTCATCCTTGTGTAAATTTCTCACCTTTGAACTTACTATTGGTTCATAAATATGACTTTCCTCTTAATAGGTTCCTAATATTACGGTTAGAATTTAAATTTTTAATTTTCGTAGCATGATGAAGTCTAATTTTTGAATAGTTAATTGATATTTCTGTTACCAAATCTTCCAGTAACGCATACAACGCAGAATGAGAGGGGGGCGGGAGAGTAGCGCTGCCTCCCCCCCCCTCACCAGTACGCTCACGATGGCTTCAACGAAACTACAGCGTGTCCTCTCCTTAATGTTTAATCCTCCTAGTCTAAGCCGCCCCAGGCCCACAACTATGACAGTACGCCACTGCTCTTGGACCAGCTCTACAATAGACAGGTAAAACTCCTTTAATGAATTTTACTCCATGCCGGACTAAAGCAGGCAGTGCTTCTAGATGCAGGATTTATATCCGAAAAACGGGATTCTTGGATTAAATGCGGTGATAGAAGAGGATTTTCGGCTGAGGCAGCATGATTTTCTTTTTTACACTCAGGCCTGCGGTTTGCATGTGATGTGGTAACTTATAGGCCCGAGAGATAATAGCATCTCTCTCCACCTACATTTTGGGGGAATTTTTCTTGTCCTTGCGCCCCTGAGCCCAAGCCCATTTATAAAAGGGGCTCTGTTTATATGCTTACTGATTCTCATATAAAACTAATTCCAATTGATTAAATTGTTTCATCACAGTAAATTATAGCAAGTTTTAAAGTACTTAAACTTTGTTATTTAAAGCCAGGCCCGCTTTTATAAGCGGGCAGACTGGGCATATGCCCAGAGGCACCAGTGGGCACGACCGCCCGCCCGCAATAGGAAAAAAGGGGGGCGCTGCTTTTGGGTTTGCCCAGGGCTCCACTGACCCTTAACGCGGCCCTGTTTGAAGCATAAGTTAAGTTAATAACTTAAAAGTTTACCTCAAAAAGATCTCTCTAGATGAAACGGGAAAATTCATGTGTGATAAAAAAAGGATTTTTCATTAGGCCTACATAAAATCGGAATAAAAGGGATTGTTCAACCTCGTCAGACAGATTTTTTTTTTAAGTTAGGCAACATGGAAAACTGCCAGCATAATTCTATAAGGAAACCAAGGGGCTATCAATCAGAACAAAAATTCAATTGCACTAACTTACATACAGATTTGTAGTTTGGGATTAATAATAACGAAGATAAACGTTATTTACTAACTTAATAAATTTCAATCAGCCGATTTATTTTTACTAAAATAGGCCTCTGAGACATGACATTACTGGCGACGTCCTGTAATCCAGCTACTAGGAGGTCACGAATTGTGGATATTTATAGGCATGCACTGTGGATGCGATACTCCCTGGTGTGGATTAACATCCGCAATAGTGAGTACTACGACTATACGCAGTACTATCCTGATAATAGGACCAATTCGTTAATACCAAGGCAAAAATGTTGTTCGGATTCCACTATAAACTGTAGGTCCCTTATAGTTGCCATTAGATGTATGGGCTAGGTCTATTAATTAACAGCTGTGTCTAAGGAGTATGTTGGCCTTAGTCACTAACAAGACTACAAGATTGTGCCACTCATCCTTCACTCATCTCCATTCATACTTGGCTTAAAATACCTAAGTTACTTGTGTATGGTCGCCATTTCATTGAAAAGTATTAAAAGTATATACTTAGGCAATAGGCTCTGATTATTTTGAAACAAAACAGTAGAAGCGCAAGTTTTACATGAAAATAGTATTATCTATTATAATGCATGGCTGCACTTTACTTTAGGTCCTACACTCATTCCAATGAAAATATCGATCAATAAATCGATTAATTGATTGTTTCTTTCGATATATCGTTTGGTTAGTTAGGTAAAGTTAAATCTAACCTATAACTAACCAGACGATATATTGAATGAAACAATCAAATAATCAATATTTTCATTAGAATGAGTGTAGGACCCAAAGTAAAGTGCAGCACAACGCATACCTACAAGATTGAAAAACACTAACAGTAAAGATTTTCTCAACTAGGCCTATATAGGCTGAGTAAACTTATGAACTAAGTTAGGTGTGTCTATGTTGGTAAATGGATTGTTGTAAACTGTTTTTGAGTAATTAAAAAGTATTTGAAATAAGCTACAAACAAAACTAAATTCACGGGTAGGAATGATAGGCCTAATTCAATTCCTAACAATTATGTAACCCCAAGATTGAGGGATATTGGGTTTCATTGAAGGACATAGCCTAGGCCTAAATGATGCAGTACTAAATAATAGTTATTATAATGCAAGATCCGTAAACAATTTACTTACTAAAGTTTCACAGTTGTAAATAAATCGTTATTTCTGATATACTTTCAACACACAGTGAATAATCACGATATATCATTACCAATAATTACTAACCCTATCCCTTGATAAAATTATAGACAGACACACAAACCAGACAGAGTGACAGACAGAACAGACAGAAGAGAAGAATGTCGAATATGACAGTTCTTTCTTTGTCTTGCTCTTACTCAACAAAAACTTCAAGTCCTTTAGAACAGTGACTGTTCGGAGGCAATAGGCAATTGTAGAAAAATACAATAAACAATGAATATTGAATGTGCTTTGGTTATAGACATTTCGTCCACAAAAGGTTTGGGCAAAGATTATACCATAGATAAAACATACTCCCTTGGTCCAAGCATGTCCAAGTATGTTTTATCATTGACTCAATGGTTTTATCTATGATATACATACTCCCCTTCCCCTAGTACGTCGTACAAAAAACATACAGTTCTTAGTAGATTTGTCATCCTTATGGATCAGCTGAAGACAATTTGTTTTATTGTTAGCTCTATCCGGTGCACTGTAGAGTTCGTGTTTTGTTTAACAATTTCTTTATTGTTCTCTCAGTCAATTAAATCCTCGTGAATTAAAACCAAATGAAATTATTTAATCATAAACAATAAAATTATCCCCTAGATATGTAACCAAAAAGTAAAGCACAAATCATCGAACTAACCCTAAAATAATAGAAACAAAATTCTGTCAACACTAGCGATGAGTGTCACCGGACATGAACTAGACACAAAACATGAGCTTCAAAATTTACAATGGGATGAGAAGTCTAATCTATGAGTCTAGTGTTGGTTGTCTATGGCATCGATTTCAACTCTATTATTACAACAATAATAGAAATCGGTGGTCTATAGTAGTATGTTTTATCATTAAGTAAATTTAAAATAAGCAAGATTTAACATGAGTAAATCTTGAAAGAGCCAAACCAAAGTCAAAAGTTATTGTCACAAGCCAGTGATTGCTATTCTTCCACCGATTTCATGTTTCCTTTTTTATATTGTTGTTTAATAATCAATGGTTACATGTATACATTTTTATTGGCGATAAAATATTTTCCAATTTTCTGTAGCAGAATTGCGTTATCTTTGTTACACATTCTTGGGCGTGGAGGGGGTGTTTCCTCTTTCACTTGTTTGTGAAGGAGTTTATTGATACGAATGAGGTGTGAGAGAGAACCGCGTCCCTTTGAAATGGTGTTTTTGTTGCATTCTCCTTTTGACTCAGGGTGCTGCCTTCCCTATTCCACCCTCCTCTAAACAGTTGTCTGCATTTCTTTTTAAACTTAACTTCGTTGTTCACGTTCAGTGACATTTTGAGTTTCGCCAGAAGAAGCTTATTTGGTGTTTACCTTAAGGTATGATTGTTTGTTTCATTCTTGTAATTATTAGACTAATTTGTTTTTAGTCCAACATTAATAGAGTTCCACTCAGGTCTATAGTTAAATTTATTAGCTAAGTCCTGAATCATCAGTTAAATTATTTGCAATTTTATTGTTAAAATTATTCAGGAATTAATTACCAAAACTCGTAAGGTAGAGCATTTTATAAGTTCATGACACAAAACCTTAACTGATTGAAACTTATCAAAATTTCTTAAACACCAACACTTGGATCCATCTATTCAACACCACAACATTTAAGTTATTTATACATATTTGGATATAGGCCTAGATTATGTACTGGAATACAAACTTCATGGTATGAAAGCTTTAACCATCATGTCAACCTGTTTTACACAGGCTAGGCCAAGTGGATTGACTTTAAGTAAACTAGGTAGCATATGCTTTAAAATTCTAAGCTTACTTCACCTAGTTTTAGAATTGAAGTGTTACACAGATGATGACAAATAACTTATGTAGGACAAAAAAAGTAACTTAGCCTATACCTACCTAATTTATTCTGCATAAACTTACCTAACTTGGTTCTCTCTCTGGAGTTCAATAAACAACAAATTATTAAAAGAATTGGTGAAACTTTAAAACTTATATCCGACTCCATCGGATTATCAAACAATAAAAAAAAGTAGGTATCAGTTCGATCGATAACCAAATTTAAACTAACCATCCTGAACTTTTCTACATTGATTGTAACAATTGGTAATACGATGGTGTGGGATATCAAAGTTTGTCAAAGAGTAAAAAAACCGCAAATAAGTTTAGGGCTATTTAAAAAATTTCTCATCCAACATTATCTTACAGGAAGTTAAATTTAACAATGAAGATTACGTGAGTTTGGATAGAGAGATGCAGGACAGCTCGCCGGACCTTAGTCTGAAGCTGCGCCGCGGCTCCAGCGACTCAAGGGACTCGTTTTATATGGACTTTGCACAAGGAATCGACTCGGACATTGAAGAGGTAGCGACAACGTCAGGAGCAGGGATACAAGAATGCACCACAGACGACGCATCAACTCCCACTGCTACCACAGTGAAGGATGACACACCATGGTAAGTGATTAAGTCTCGTAAGTATTCATATAGTAATTTGAGACGGGGACGCCACCTATGTGCGTATTTTAACGCAAAAAAGAGTGAAGTACGAGTGTAGAATGGAGTGTGATACCTTGTGTAGGTAGCTTTGTTACTGACTAAGACCAGCTTTTTCATTTAGGACCATTTACTTTGAAAGCCCAATGATCAAGACAGCTGGGTCCAGTTTTGAACCATCAAAAACCTAAATCAGCGCACTTTTCTCAGGATAAAACCGGCGACCCTTTGATTACTAGGCGAGCACAGTAACCACTAATTATAATGACAGTCAAATAACCACTGACAGTCACTTTCAAGAGTAGGTTAACCTTGTTTATTGATCTTGAGCTAAAATAGGCCTATTAAAAGGTTTGTTAAAACAAAAATCTGCTTTAATGTTGTCTTTGCCATAAGTGGGCATGTAATAAATAAGTTGTGGGATTGACTCCTTGAATGGATACGTTTGTAGCTAAACACAGTGGAATTGGGCTCCGGGTAATTACAGATAATTACAGGGCAGATAATTCTTACGGTTTTTAAGAAAAATATAAGTTACAAGCACCACACATTGTATTACCGGTACTACTTTTTGTTGTGCTATAGCACAATCGTAGTTTAAGAGAGAGAGAAAAAGGATGAATAATAAATAAATAAATAAGAATTTTTTTGCCGTTAAGCTTTGAACAGCAATAGACAAAGTCAAGTATTAATTTAAATTAAATCTAAGTTATGGTTTACAAATACAATTCTGAGCTGTAGTTGTAAAAGATCTTCATCTTTTACGTAAAAGGCTTTTCTCCATCTTCAACGAACCATAACTTAAGTTCGTTGAAGATGGAGAAAAAGGGTCCTAACTCCCAGTGGGTGTCAGCAACCACATATTCAAGAAATGAAGCCTTGATTCCCTTAATAACAATAAATAACAAGTAGGCTTACTAAAGGACAGTGTTTGTGATGATAATGGTGAAAGTAAAGCATAGATTATGCAAAAAATCAGGGGTAAGGGTAAAATATAATTTTTAATGATTGCTAGGGGGATTTTGTATTAGCTACATCCTACTTACAGCTAGGTTGATGTGTGTGTACCTCGACCTTCGCTCTCTCAAATAGGCCTACGTACAATTATAGCTTCTGAAGTTAATAATTTCTAAGTTAATAACTTTTTTAGTGGGATGGGCTTGTGGCTACAATAACCAAAATGAAACAATATTTTTTTAAACCCTAATTATTCAGAAGTATTGTTTAACAAATTGGAAATTTTCTTAATGGTAGGCGTAATTGTTTGTAAATTTTATTATTTAAGGATGGTTCACAGGATGGTTTTGTTTCCTTTGTAGATAGGGCCTACATTCTGTTAAGATGAAATATTTTACTTACTATCTTAGATACCCTACAAACCCATTAGTTTGAAAGTAAGTAGCATATAAAGATATTTGTAAACGGAATGGTTATTTGGACAAAAGAATGCATGATTTTTATAAAATAAAATAAAAATAAACCTCCATTTCACAATCCATGTTGTATTTTAAATAAAATATTTTTTAACGTCTTCTTAAGATTTATATTGATGATTATTGTTACAAAAGTTTTAAGGCTTATTGCGTAAGCTGTCGGCACTGGCACTGATGTGATATTATTACCAACTGCGACACACGACGGGTGACGCTACGAGTCGTAGGATTGTGTAGCTGACACAGGCAATTTCAGCCTGAGGGAAAAAAGGAAAATTTTTGGCGAGGGAGAAACTGTCGAAGCGATTGGAAACACTGGTTTAGTGTCAGTTCGTTGTTTTGATTGTGCAGTGAGGTTATTGTTTTGTTCTTCTGTTTACCGTGTATGTGTAGTGGCTCTGCCGGCGTTGGTATGTAGCAATTGTTTTGTTGTGAAATAATGATCGTTCGGTGCCAAAGTTTATTAATTGATTAATTGTGGGAGGGGAATGGAGTGGGCCCGCGGACACGATTGCCCAGGGGCTCGAGATTTCTCTCTGCGGGCCTGAAGAACACTACTTACGTATTATGATAAGATATATAGGAGGAAAGTTTCCCTGGGGCCAAGATTTTTGTTTTATGATAATATTAAATCTTTATTTGTCATAAAAATACAAAGGTATCATTGACAAAGTCATAATATGTAGTAGGTACAACTGCCAGGTCATACAAGTATTTTTTCCCTTTTAAAACTATCTTAAAGGTAATAGCCCAATATTGAAGGGAAAAAATATTGAAAAATGCACAAAACAAGTTAAAAAGGTGTAATCACAAATTACAAACTGCAACTGCTAAAAAGAAAAAAGAGGAAAAAAATACTACACCTAAAACTGGACGATGTCCAGTTTATAAAAGGGGTGTCCCAACCACAAGTAAACCTTATTTTTTTATTCTTTTAATGGCCTGTTTGCAATTAGCTTTTGAAAAACATTGTAGACTTTTATAGATAAAATTATGTGGCTACTTGAGGTTTTAATTAAATAATGTGATTCTAAAGCAGCATTATTTTTGTTTCATGTATTATACCTGTGGTTGCCAAATTTCAGATGGTTATGTATCCCAAGGTTGTACATCACAATATCATATACAAATTAACACAGTCTGAATCTCCCATTCTATGAATAGTTGTTTACAATGCTAATTCCGATTAGATCCATTCATTACTTACTCTTAAAGCCTTTTTTTAAATTTCAAAATTTTTTTAACTCTCCTGTACCCACCCCAGAATATCAACCCAAATCTTATAATGGATTGAAAGTAAGCAAAGTATGCGGTTTTTATATAATTGAGCGGAGCGAGCGAAGCTCTTATACGTCGACTTTTATGCATTTCGTAATACGCAAACTCCTCCTAGACGGCTGAATCAATCGTTTTCAAATTTTGCATGGTGATACAGACCATATCGGTGAGTGCCAACATCTATATGGCGTTAAAAAAGTCTTTTAGGAATCCACCCCACTGGGTCTCAAAGTTTCAATGTAATTCTTATGGAAGCAGTATTTGACACATAAACAAAAACATATGATCAGCTGTTGACTTTTGAATGCAGTAGATAAATAAATAGCTGATAGCATTATTCCACAGTGATATTAGAACATAAACGGTAGTATGGATCATAAATATAATCAAATGACGATACTAGCTTCAGGTCCGTGACGTAGGAAGTGGTGAAGGAAGTAGTCAAGGTGAGCTGTCCGGAGTGTGGAAACTGTTTATGACGATTAGATTTCGGTATCTGCATTCCTAAAATTCTATGGGAAGGGAGGAAAACGGGTCCGTGACTTAGGAAGTGGTGAAGGAAGTAGTCAAGGCAAGCTGTTCGGGGTATAGGATCTGTTTATGACCTTTAGATTAAGGTATTTGCAATCCTAAAATGCTATGGGAAGGGAGGGAAACAGGTCTGCGACGTAAGAAGAGGTGAAGGAAGTAGTAAGGTGAGCAGTGTGGAGTTTGGGAACTGGAAACCGTTTGTAGCAGTTAGATTAATGTATCGGCAATGCTGAAATGCTATGAGAAGGGATGGAAGCATGCCCACGACATAGACAATGGTGAAAGAAGTACCTAGTAAAGGCTAGCAGTGCGGAGTGTGGGCAATGTTTGTGGCAATTAGATTAACGTATCTAAAATAATCTAAATGCTATGGAAAGTGATGAAAACGGGTCCACGTTGTAGGAAGTGGCTTAGGAAGTAGTAAAGTATGAACATATTGTGAGAACCGTCTGTGGAAGTTAGATTAATGTATCTTCAATCCTAAAATGCTATAAGAACAGAAGGAAACAGGCCCCACGACGTAGGAAGTGGTGAAGGAAGTAGTAAAGACTGGCAGTGCAGAGTGAGGGAACCGTTTGGGCAGTTAGATAAATGTATCTAATACTTAAATGCTAAGAGAAGGGAAGGAAACAGGTCTATGACGTAGGAATTGGTGAAGGAAGTAGTAAGGCCTGCAATGCAGAGTGTGGGAACTGTCTTTGACAATTACATTAATGTATCTGCAATCCTAAAATGCTATAAGAGAAAAGAGAGGGAAACAGGTCCACGACGTAGGGGGTGGTGAAGGAAGTAGTAAGGTGGGCACTGTTGAGTGCAGGTATTGATTAATGTATCTGCAATGCTAAAATGCTTATGGGAAGAGACTGTAGACTGTAGGTTAAAATTATTATGAAGCACGAATCGTTCCATATTTCGATACGTATTCAATCGTTAACAATAGAAATTTACAACTGAGTTGACAACAGCTGAGTTTTACTCCATAGAGGCTAAAAACGAATTTTATTCCCTTAAGAATAAAAATGCTACTTTAGACCCGCAAAGCATGCATCATTGATGACTGTTTTTACTGCATTATGACAAAAACAATATAATATGAACCCTTGATGACTCCGCTCAATTTCGTAGATGCATCTGCAAACGCCACCTAGTTATTTGGAATTTGGTGTCCCAGGCGTCTCAAAAGAAAAATTACTCGGGATAATTTTGAAGACATATAATCAATGTGGGAGTTCCAGGATAACCGATAGTCAATTGAGTATACCCAAAAATTTTGCTATGTGAACATAGTTTGTGTTAGTTACGGAGAAGTCTTGTTTTAATGTAAGTAAAATGTTTAGTAATAATCCATTTGAATAGAACCACCTTGATGCAGCCAACATTGTCTGATGAACTGTACTGTCTAGCTCACTCTGCTTACTACCGACATGAAAGAACTAAGAAGGTTGTATCATCTGCATATGTCGCCTCATTAAACAAAATGAGAGGGCCAGTAAGTATGGCCTTCCCGATCCATAGGGTGAAATGAAATTATTTCATCTTTGGAAGGGTGTCAGGTGTAGACCTTTGGAAATCGGCCTGTCAGGCAGAGCCCTTTGAAATTCATCCATCACTACATACCAATACTTTTTTGCAAATCTTTACAACCTAATCTTCTTTTTTGAAGTGCCATATGCCCATATTTAAATTTGGTTAATGGCCTTAACCGTTTACGTAAAATTTCATTGTATTACTTTAATAATATAATAGGTCCTGTCCTAGGTAATATGATCCTTTAAAACTGCATTAGGGAGGGTGTCCCACATAAGGTGTCTCAAATTGATCACGGAAAAACGGCTTAACCAAGGATGAATTAAAAGATCCCGAAGAATAACGTAAAAATTCTGCAGTTTACGACGGGGCGTTTGTTGTGACCGCTTGCCGACTTCGGAATGACCTCCCCTTAGCCATCAAATCCCTTGATAACCGTTCCCGGTTTGTGGCAGCGCTAAAAAATATGTATTTTGAACGTATGGCCATGGTTGGTTTGTCCTAGGGGCTTGTACGCGTGGTTGGTCACTGACAGATGTGCTTGGTGTGTGTGTGTGTGTGTGTGTGTGAGAGAGAGAGAGAGAGAGGGAAAGAGGAAGATTATTTTTGTACAGTTTAAAATGTAAGTTATTTTCTTTTGTTTAAGTTTCTGTATCCATGATTTAGATTTTGTTTTTGTTGTATATTAATGTAATTGGTAAAATATGTGTGTTATATTTATGACAGGTTAAGTGTAAGAAAGGGCCATGTGGCCCTAACTTTTGCCTGGATAAATAAATAATATTTCATTTCATTTCATTTCAAAAATATTTTTTCCGATACAGGGTGTGCCAAAAACTGAGGGTCACTAGTTCGAATCTCGGAATTTTCAAATGTTAACATATGTCATGTTGTACATCATTTTAAAGGTATTTAATAGAAAAACACTTTGGCGAAAACAGAAATGAATTATCTTTTCCCGTTTCAAAATGGCGGCAGTTTATTTTGAAAAAATCAATATGTTTATAATACTCTGTGTTTCCTATACCAATTCACTTAGCCCTTCTCCGGTTGAATTTTCTTACTCGTTATGAAATTAGCTTTACTGTGATATAGGCTACTACAAGTAACGATTTTTTTGAAAAATAAAAATTCCAAAAATATATATTTTTTTAAATTTACAAATGCCCATTGTTTAAAATTTTTAAATAGCAACATATGTCAAGTGGCACATCATTTTATAAGTTTTTATTTTATTTTAATAACTTTGTAATTTACACTTACTTTGTATCTCTTTTGGTTTTTGTGTAAATAACAAAAAACCTAATTTTCCTATATCAAATGCATGTTAATTGGGCTTAACACTAAAGGACCCATTTAATTTAGTGGTAAACCCAAATAATAACATGAAAATATTTTTACGTTATTCCTTAGGGTTGATTTGTAAATAATTTTATTTCATCCTTGTACTTTAAGCCGTTCTTCCGTAATCAATTTGAGACACCTTCAGTGGGACACCCTGTATACCTCAAATACGATATTAAAATCTAATCATATTTTTATCTAATGTAGAACCATCAAAATACAATGCTGAACCCAATGTAAAGTATATATTATCTATCATCAATTTATTTTTTTATTTTTACACAAAAATACTTTATGTAGTAGACTATATACAAGTTTATTAGCTCTTAAGTTTTTCAGCATTATAGTTAATCATTTGCAGTTTTTGTAATCGTTGTCATTTTCCATCATTTGGCAAATTAACCTATGAAAAGTGGCTGTCACCTTGACTATAACAGTAGAACAATAACTCGCCAATTTAGCCCTTAATTGTCTGCTCTCCCCAATGAAACAATATGGCCGGCTTCAATCAGTTTGTTCCCTTCGGGTCAAACCTTAACTGAAACATAAGTGTGCACGATTTCCTTGCATACTTCCATTAAGAGACTAATATTTTACTTTTTTTTATTAAATCCATTAAATATTGATAGAATCTTATCTTAATTGTATGATTGTTTTATTGCTTTCAATAACATAAGAGTAGAAAATGTTGTAGTGTTGCTATAAATTCTTTAACATGAGTGTAAGGTGAGTGATCTCCACATTCCGAGGTATTTACTATGCTTATCCAAGAAACTACTGAAAGGCAAGTATTTTAGAGGATGTGATTTCAGTTTTTTCTAAATTCTATGATTGTTTAAAGCCATAATTAAATACAGTAGTAATATCTAGTTTACAGTCTGTACAATGATATACTAATTTATTTAAGTACCAGCACGAGAAGTTTTTTAATGTATTGATATTTAATATTACTTTAGTAATTGATTAAATATCAACCAAATAGTAAAAACATTGAATATTGGTAATTTTTAAAGAAAATCATAAAAATCTGAATGTTAGATTTTTTACATCCTTCAAGAAATCTTAATTAAGCCTTTTTTCATTACTATTCAAACTGCTTTGGCAGATCCTCCGATCCCCTTATCCCCAGGGGACGCTCCTACGCTGAAGTAGAACAGGGCGCTGAATTACGTTTTAAAGAGAAATAAAAATTAAAACAAGAATAGGGCTAATCAAAAATATATTTATTTATCATGGGTTACCTACTAAGGGGTTACAACAGAATTAGAATGGAGTTCTGTTCTGTCTGGCAGGGTACGGCTCTTAAGGGAACCATTCCGGCATTCACCTAATTAAGTGAGGGAAGAAACCGTACAAACTTCCTCGGAATGGTCGGTCCGATAGTCAGACCTCCCTAATGTGAAATGACAATTATCATCATGATGCTACTTCACATGGTCAGATTTACAAAGCTACTTAATACTAGATTCACCAATTATACTAGGAACATAAGAGACTTAATCCTAGATACATTGAAACTTAATGCTATACATTGATATTTCCTAAAGTTAAACCATGATGGTACAAGTACTAATTTGGTATTAAATAGTTATTTGTGTAACTAGTGGGCACAGTGGCACTTTGCTGCACACGAGAGCAATGTGCAGAAGTTTTGTTCCCTCTTCGGATCAAATTTTAACCATTTTAAGGTTAATTTTAAGGCCGCTTGATGATTAAAGCCAATTACTAAAATAACTATGCTTGGAGGAATGATTAAAATTTTCTTGAAAAGACAACATTCTAGACATTTTATCGTTTTGCCAAAAATCCCCCTGGACGTTTTTTATGTACCCAAAAAGAGGACGTGTCTGGGAAAATGAGGAAGTCATCGATCCCTTCTCGAAAAGTTCACACATAAGATGACTGGTTTTCTTGATGTATTGAGAAACAGTAACAGTCCATGCTTTTGGAGTTTGGAAATTTGGAAACAACATCAACTATTTGTTTAGGTATCATTGTACTAAATTTAAAAGCAGATTGACACTTTTTTAACAAAGATATTAATCAGCTGATAGGCCCATTGGCTCAATTTAAAGTCCAAATATTTTACTTAGTCAATAAAAAAATATTAAAGTTATTGGAATTCAAAGGAATGTTCTGTGTTTTTGTGAGATCACTTTCAATATTATCATTATTACATTATATTTAAGCCTAACCTAGAGTGAAGCGGGGCCGGCTTGTACAGTACATTACATGTTGTGTTGCAGCTGGGTGGGTCCCGCCACAGAGCCGGGTCTGCTGCCTTCCCCCGCCTCTCCCAGCGCCGTCATAGTGAGCCCCGAGACTCTCAGTCACCACAGTTCTCCTCAGCGACAACACCCGGTGAGACCTGCCTCCCGGGCCACCACGTCCACATCTCGCGGGGGTCACCCGCTCTCCACATCACTGTCCGGGTGAGTAACCTCTCCACTAAAATGCAATGATATAGATTTCAACTTCAAACCGCTTTCCTTCTCATTACTGGCTCTAAACAGATTTTTGAGTTAACAATAAGAGGTTGGTTGTAACTTTTTAATATATAGTTCAACAATAGAGCTCCTAATATTTCCCTTCGTGTGACTTGTCAATCATATTTAATAATATACACATAGCTTGTGACATACGTTTTTTTATTTTTTTTATTTTTTTTTTTTTTTGAGGTTGGTGGTCTCTTTTAATTGTGCATGGGCTTCAGAGGCCTGTGCGTTGGATCGTCTCAAAGTAAAGCAACAGTATATGAACGACACTGATAAATTTTACACAGCAACACCAGGAAGTGACCCACAAAATCACTTCCGTGGTTTCACAGTCCGTCGCAATATCAACTGAGCCACCAACTGACAAATTTTTATTTGAATAATGAAAAGCTATTGGTCAGTTTAGCTGTCATTTATTTTTCCCATCATGCATCACGCTGTGTTACCGTGATGTTTGTTTGACAGACTTGCACATCCTCCGCCAGGATGTGTTATGTATCCTCCCATCATGTACCACGCCGTGTTGCCAAACATCAAGCGACCTTCACGTATAGAGCAACTACAGGTCAACTGGAGGAAGATGGGCGCGTAAGTCATTTGTAACACTGTATACAACTCAACTCTAAACTTGCTATATTAATTTGACCTGTGCTAGTGTCAAATTCTATGAATTCATAACTATTCACAATTATTTTAGTTAATTTATTATTAAATATGCTGGAATAGACAAAACTAGAATCAAAATGCTAGATATTGGGTTTCAATTAGTCTAGGCCTACAGCTCCCTGAAAGTTTTGGGTCAGGCCAGGTCAACAATTGTCCTGTGTTAACTGTTCGGGCCACAAATAAATTTGGTACTTTGGTATTATACGGAGGCCACAAATTTTACAGCGCGCTTCTACAGCTGCAACTTCTATGTTAGGTCGGATTATCATAATATGTTTGTCGGACTTTCCTCATTTTTGTATGAATCGAACGATACCAGATGAGTCATACTTTATATTTATTTATGATAACCCAACCTAACATAACCGCTGCAGCGCAGTATAAGGGTGGCCTCCATATAATACCAAAGTACCTAATTTTTTAACTGGATCAGATAGTTTATATTAAAGATATACACAACCTGCAATTATCGTGCCAAGTGATGTTATTGTTATCGCAGTGAGTGTCTGTAAAGATTGAGAGATCAAAAATCATGATTTTGCCATAATTGTGGGAGACAATGGTGATGTATGCACAATGGCAGGTGATGTTCACTAAATCGCTGCGGCTTTAGGAGTGATTGATGATGTCATATAAACCGCTGGTGATGTCCTTAAAGGATTGACTCTTCACTCTTTTTCTTACAGTTTTTATTACATAGTAATTATTATACAATTTTACCTGTATTTGTTTGTAACAAGGCAAGTAAAAAAGTTTCCTGTTTGGGTTTTGAGGTTTGATATTCAAAATAGATTTCAGTTTTGAGATTTTAAATTTCACACCAAATCAAAGTTTAGGTGCAAAATGAAATATAGTTATATTTTGATGCATAAATTTTTTTTACAGGCAAGCTTTGGCCACTACGCTCTCTGCTCTGTATGGGAAGCTACTGGTTGTTATGGGGATTGCCTTCCCTATGGCTGAAGTAATCTCCACTCATATACCGACGTCTGTGTATGAGGTAAGATATGATTAACTCAAATTAAACCGTCTAGTGGACAATTTAATTTTACTTAAGGATTTAATATTGTTGAAATTGTGTTAACTAAAGGTTTAGAAATTATTTTGACTTCTGTCCAAATATTAAAGAACTATAGCAGTTACCCGGCGCGACGCTGCACTAACAACTATTATTTTAAATTGTAATTTGTTCTTTTGATAAATAGTATTAGTATTAGTATAAGTATTATTGGAGTTCTTTTAATGACAGTAATGTGGTGGGTAAATGACAAATTAGGAGGCATTTGAATACCCGAGATAGCACGCACGATTATTATTCACTTAATAATTTATGTTAGATTGTGTGGGTATGTATATATATATACATACATAGTTCCTCTTTTATAGATATAGATAGATATGCATTCTTTAAATCATTCTAAATCTGAAAATAATTTGTTGAATTCTTTTGTTCCAGGGGTTTTACCTGTATCTATACTTCGGAAGCATGGCTTTCCTCTTCTACATGTACGCAATGCTGTGCAAAGACCATCCCAACAAGTCCAAAAGTAATAACAACAGCAGTAGTGAGTCCACAAGTGGGTTGATTTTACTTTCAGTATCAATGTCAAATGTGGAGTTATTTTAGAAAAATTAATGTTTTGAGAGTTACCTATTTACTATCAGAGTATTATTCAAATAAATAGTCCGTACCTATACGTTTGCTAAATGAGGTCAAGTCTTTATTATCATCAAGAGATTGAAGAGTGACTGGCTTGCATGAAATATTCTCAGCTCTTAAACAAAAACTCAGGGTGTCCACATTCTGGAAAGTCAGGGATAGTCATGGAAAAAAAATTTGGTCATTGAAAGTCATGGAAATATGCAAGAAGTCATGCAAATCCCCAATGATGGATGGATTTGAGGGGACCATTCAATGCTCCGTAACCGCGACTGTTGTAGCATTTTTCAGGATTTTTCACAACTGTTCGACAATTCAATTTATTACAGTTGTATTATTTGATGAGTTTTGAGTTTGTTTTAGTCCATTGCTGTACCTATCGTACCCCATTGTTATCTGTTATTACAAAATATTTCAGTATTTTCTGCAAAATAACATGTCTAGACAGTATTATTTACGTGTGTATGTTATATTATAATTTTTGAGTAAAGTTCATGAGTCATGAAAATCAATAGTCCATGGATAGTCATGAAAAGTCATGGAAATTAATTAAAAACTTTTTGTGGACACCCTGAAACTTTTTTAGCTTAATTTGGATGAAAGAGGCAGATTAAAAGTAACATTTAAAGCATCGTAACCTTTTCCTGGAGTGACTTACCAATGTTTACAGTGTCTGTCCAGAGTATAGTTTTTATTAGGTCCCTTAATATACTTACATTAAGTTTACATATCTACAATGCATTACATTTAAGAGTGGCAGAGAGACTCGTCAGAACTACATGACTGTTACTGAGATGAGCACTGTGACAGAACACTACTACAGGTCCACCTTGTATCATGTAATGATGAGTACTAGACACTGTTGATGTTACAGAGAGAGGGAGAGAGACAAGCAACTCATCAGAGGAGAGTGATGAGTGTGAGAGTGGCAGAGAGACTCGTCAGAACTACATGAGTGATACTGAGATGAGCACTGTGACAGAACACTACTACAGGTCCACCTTGTATCATGTAATGATGAGTACTAGACACTGTTGATGTTACAGAGAGAGGGAGAGAGACAAGCAACTCATCAGAGGAGAGTGATGAGTGTGAGAGTGGCAGAGAGACTCGTCAGAACTACATGAGTGATACTGAGATGAGCACTGTGACAGAACACTACTACAGGTCCACCTTGTATCATGTAATGATGAGTACTAGACACTGTTGATGTTACAGAGAGAGGGAGAGAGACAAGCAACTCATCAGAGGAGAGTGATGAGTGTGAGAGTGGCAGAGAGACTCGTCAGAATTACATGACTGATACTGAGATGAGCACTGTGACAGAACACTACTACAGAGGCCACCTTACAACCAAACCGGTGCCTTTCCAACACTACGGCAGCTTCTACTTGCGTATGGGCGCTGTTGGTGAGTTACCTTTTGTTTGTAAGATTTGGTTTTAAGTTGAGGAAAATCTTTGATCTAGACACTTATAATTTTTCCATTTTGAATGTGCAAAGAAGATCAGCTCTGAATTATGGAGATATACTACAAACTACAATGGTTTATAAATCATATTGTTGGCAATTTTATATGGTTAGGACAACAACTAATTTAAATTCACAAGGACGGAAATTTCACTTCTTATATAGGTTGTCATGTTCTTACACACATTTACGATGTAAACACTCAACGCAAGACTAGATTTTGACAACATAACATCCTGAAAGGGAGTTAAGGTTTATACAAAATTAACAGCTGTACTTAGCTTGAGCTGCTGGTCTTAAACCACCATGTCAATAACAGTAGTCTTATCGCAATTCAATTACACTCGCCCTGTCATTCTAAACTAAAGATATTTTCAGCATTTGGGATTGGCAGCATGATCTACTCAGGGCTGGAGTTTGGTCAATATTTTGAGCTAGACCAGAGTACCAAGTGTCACAATGTTCTGCTCGCACTCACCCCAGCTACTAGGATGGCCTTCATCTTCATACAAATGTACTTCATCTTCCTCAACGATGAGGTAAAAACTGGCTTAAATCTCTATTGCTAGCATATTTCGATCAAACTTTTAGAATGTGTCACTAGGGTATGCCCAAGTAGCATTTTTTTTTTCTCCTAGGACGCAGGGCAGGAGCCCGGAGTTGTTTTTCACATTACTTAAAGCTAGACCTAGGGGTTACGGCATTATCACTGAGATAAAATCCATTGGTGATTTGGCGGGATTTGAATGTGGGACCCCAGGAACCGAAGTCCCGCGCTATAACCACTAGACCAGCTCCCTCCCCCAATTAAGACCGCATTGAGGCTAGATTAACACTTAATATCTGTGTCTTACTTTGCAGCAACAAATGAGAGTCACCAGACACAGAGTGCTGGCGAGATTCGGACTGATGCACATGATTGGCACCAACCTATCTGTCTGGCTGAATGTACTAGTCCAGGAGACCAAACATGAGATACTCACCTTCTACAACCCTGAGAACAACACTATTGAGTTCAACCATCGTCAGACGATGCACCTCCCACGCGACAACATCTTGGGTAAGCAGTGTCTTAATTCATGGTAACATTTGCATCATATCGAGCGAAATTGAGTTTTTAGGGTGTAATTGTGTTTAATGATCAAAGTGAATCCAGGTAAGTAAAAACATTTGAAACATTTGATATTCACTTTTGCTCTGTGTGATTGACATCGGGTTTTAACCTAACCAATTACTCAAAACATGTTGGATTGTTGTAAGTAACACGAGGCAAAAGTAACTGAGATAGTCTGTGAATTTGTCCCCTCATCTTACAAATCTCATTGTAACAAAATACTTGGACCTTTCCCGTTAATTCACTACCACTTCTGTTAAGTCACTACCACTAATTAGTATTTAGGTTAGGTTAGGACTATCTTTACGGACCTTTTCCATTAACGTAGTTCTATCCTAACCTAATTTAACCTAATAATAGTAATTAGTGGTGGTGAATTAACATATCAGTGGATTAACGGAAAATGTCCAAATACTTGATATGACAAATTCTTGGCTCGGTCCCTTGGGATTTGATACATCGAGGTTGTACTGATGTGTATCACAATTTAGGGTTGAATACGCCAGGAGAGGCGCTGGCGCTGGTCCACACCAGGGTGACTCGTGGACTCAAGTCTCCCCACCACATCTACGAATGTCGGCGCACCAACATCATCGGGTCACTGGTGCAGGACGCCAGCCCCTTCCTCTTCCCCTGCACCATAGAGTACAGTCTCATCTGTGCTGCCATACTCTATGTTATGTGGAAGAACATCAGCAGGTATTGTGTTTTAAACCTTTAATTTATTATTTATTTTTTAAACTTTAGTCATAAGGTTTATTGACTTAAGTAGAAATTCCCCGATATTATAATGTTAAGTGTTGGTATTACTGTCTGTTTGGGATGTAATAAATGTTTGTGTGAAATAATTAAGTGTTGTTGGTTCAAATTTACCATCATACATTTATACATTTTCAAAAATCTATTGACACATTAGGCAAACTTATTTATACATGTTAGTTGAATATTTCACTTTCACATTTAAAGATCCCTGGTTCAAATCTGAAAAGGATAGATTCTGGGACCAGTTGCATTTTTTGTGATTGTGCTGAATAAAAATTGATTGGAACAAATGAACCATGTGTTTTACAAGAAGTCCATTTAGGAAGTACTTGACAATAGTTTTGACCCTTTTAAGACATGGAAATCAAGCAACGGGGATATTTTATGAATATGTGGTCAAATTGAGAATAAATTATTAATTCTGGTAGCTTACTGTAACTGTTTTACTATAGAACTAAGAGAACAATATTTTTTGTTTGTTTATCAACCCAAATCAAATCTAAAGAGTTACTTAAGTCGTTTAAAATAAAACCAATTGTTGATCAAGAGCATTTATGTTCAGGTTACCACATCAAGTACAGAAAGACAAGGATATCACCCAGTCTCCGCCCATACACTTCAAGCGCTCGCCGCACCACTACTCAGTGGACTGTGCTCAGGCTCACAAGGGCCTGTTTGTTGGCATCTTGGTGCTTGTGCTCACGATCATCTCACTCATTCTCTTCTTTGTCCTCATCTCTCGTCCGGAACTTGTTAAGTTTGCTGTTATGGAGTTGACCATCTGTGAGCTGTCCTTGTACGGAATGACTACCATCGCCACACTGGTTGGAATGCTTCAGGTAGTGTCTTATGAACTGAGAAATGTGTTCAGATTAAAAATGTTGTTCAACTTTACAATCGTTAACCCACCTGGTGTCAGTCATTTTTTGTGTGGTGTCAGTCAATTTTGGGCATTTTGCAGTATTTATTAAAAAATGTAACAAATTTACTTTGTAAAATAACTACCGGTAACCTTGTTATATATTTTTGTGCAGCTAAATATATGCACATTATGATCCAGCACAAATAATTGGGTTTTTATTATTGTCCTGTAATCCAGCTACTAGGAGGTCACGAATTGTGGATATTTATAGGGATGCACTGTGGATGCAATGCTCCCTGGTGTGGATTAACGTCCGCACTAGTGAGTACTACGACTATCCGCAGTACTATCCTGATAATTAGACCAATTCGTAAATTACAAGGAAAATCTGGTTCGGATTCCACTATAAACTGTAGGTCCCTTTGTTGCCATTAGCTGTATGGGCTATTAATGAACAGCTGTGTCTAAGGAACATGTCGGCCTTAGTCACTAACAAGACTACAAGATCGCGCCACTCATCCTACACTCATCCTTCACTCATATTTGGGTTAAAATACGCACACAGTGGCGTCCCGATCGTGAATAATTGATAATTGATAATATAACTATTTTATCATAAAAAAAGTATTTAGAAGGATAAAAAATACAAAATAAAAATATGAAAAAATGTTCGTGCCCCTATGAGTAATTTTAACTAAATCAAACGTATGAAATAGCCATGTATTTCTAAATATTATAGCAAAAAATAAAACATGAACTTTAGTATGGTAAACTTCATTTTTAGGACAGCCAAGAGTAATCAATATGATCGAGGAATAGTCCCAAAATCACTCACTAGGCCTATATTACAATGGCTTTGTCATTACACATAACCTTCAAATATATTACTGCAAACACATAAAACCAACAAGCAAGTCACCACTGATTATTTTGTACATCTAAATATGTAGTCTAAACAGATAAAAATCAGTTTTCAATAAAAAAATATAGTAACAAACCACTTGTAAACAACAACAACACGCAACACTAGGAGGTCACGAATTGTGGATATTTATAGGCATGCACTGTGGATGCGATACTCCCTTGTGTGGATTAACATCCGCACGGGTGAGTACTACGACTATCTGCAGTACTATCCTGATAATAAGACCAATTCGTAATTACCAAGGCAAAAATATGTGGTTCGGATTCCACTATAAACTGTAGGTCCCATAGTTGCCATTAGCTGCATGGGCTATTAATTAGCAGCTGTGTCCAAGGAATGTCGGCCTTAGTCACTAACAAGACTACAAGATCGCGCCACTCATCCTACACTCATCTCCTTTCATACTTGGCTTATAATACCTACTTTGTATGGTCGCCATTTCAAAGAACAGTATTAACAGTATTAACAAAGCAACCAAAACATTGTCTTTGTCTCAAAACATCTGGAAACAGACAAACAATAAAAGTAATTTTATGAAACAGACACCAGAAGAAAGCCAGTTTTCTGCTGTTTACATATAGTGCTATCAATCCAGTCCAAATCGGACTGAAATTGACTGAGTTAAAAGACAATATGTAACCGTCTGCACTACCATCAATGCATCGACGCTTGACACCCCAGAGCATGTCATTACCATCGATGCACCGATATTTGACGCTGGGAGGGTTAAGTGTCAACTGAACATATTTATAAAATAGCCCCTGAATGGTCAAAATGAGCTAAGTTAGGCCCAGCGCACACGGTGTGACTGTTTTACAACTGCCGTTGCAAACCAGTTGCGTGTCCAACTGTTTTGTGACCTTGGCAATGTATTGCAGTGGGAAGGCGCACACAACACAACTGGTTGAATGCGATTTCAAAAAAAGTTTGAAACCAGTCACATACAACCGTGGGCCCGACGTTGCAGTTGTGTTGCAAACTTCAGTTGTACGAAACCACGGGGTGTTTTTGTGGTGTTTGGTGGTATTTTGGTGGCATTTTAACAGCCATATAGTGTTTATAATTTCCTATCCGACTAGCTCTAGCTGCTACAAACAGCCTAGTACTAACATTCTTGCTTAAATAAGGGTAAACCCAATGTTCTCTCAGTATCCATCGCTATCTTCGGTATTGATAATAGCTAATAACGTCTTCTTCATCCGAGTCTGACGTAGTAAGCGCATTTAAGGCCTTAAAACAACGTAACTGCACTAAATTGGCACTCCACTAAATGCAAAATAGACGCAAATGTAATTGTAAAACAGTCACACCGTGTGCGGACAGAAGTTTTGTTTCAGTTGCAAACTGGTTTCAGACGCAACTGGTTTGCAACAGTTGTTGTAAAACAGTCACACCGTGTGCGCTGGGCCTTAAGGTTTAATTTACCTAGTCAAAGGTGCTAGTCAAACGATCCTGTGTAGTTGCAATGATTACGGCCGTTTTATTCATGAATTCATTGTCAGGTCCTAATTAAATTATTAGATACAGGAAACTACCTTCCATATTTGGGCTTTGTGTCTAGTTAAATTCTGGTTGACCAGTAATTTTTAAATGTTATGTGTATTTTGTGTGATTTAAGTTAGTTTTCATAGTTTAAAATTTCTGCCAAACTTCACAAGAGAATTTTTAGTACCAGCTGTTTCTTAGCTGACTTTTATTAAGCAGGGCCGTCCCTAGGGTTAGTGGCGCCCGGAGCAAACGTGGTCGTGGCGCCCCCTCCCCCCCAGTAAAAGTCGCATTCGCATTGTAATACTATACATTAATACAAATACCCCTCATCCGCGGCGAACGGGGCAGCTTGCCCCGGTTGCCCCCCCCCCCTTCAGACGGCCCTGACCTAAAGATGTACTCTCCTCCTCTGCACAAAACATCTGGAGTTGATTTACATAACAACAGATTGTTTCTTCAGCACCACTGGTAACCTGTATTTGTTATTTTTGCAAATCCTAAATTCAATGCATCACACACCATCTTATTGCAATTTATTCCCTTCATAAGTTTACACTATATACGAACCATCGTGTGTTGAATTAACATTACATTAATTTTTAAATAAACAATTCTATTCAATGATAATACTGTAAAATGAGATTAAAATTGACCAATTTTTATTTATCATACATTTTTAGCTTTTTAAGTTGTGAACATTCTGCCAAGCAAGGATATTTGACTTGCAGGTGCGACAGCTGAAGTACGACGGGTGCCGTAACCTAGAGCTGGACAACATTCTGCTGATTGGCGCCCAGACCGGGATGTTCATCTACAGCACATTCACCATCATCGGAGGTCATTTCACGCTGGAGGAGAATACTGCCTTGGTGTTGGCCACAGCACTGGCGTCTCTGCTGCAGACATTGTGTCAGACCATGTTTGTGCTGGACGCCTCTCGCAGGTGATCACACTTAGTAGTAGTTATACAATTGTGTACTTGATAAAGCTACTATGGTTTTCAGGGTACAGTAGAAATACAATCCAACCCCCAATACTCTTGTAGTTTATGCGAAATAATATAATTATAAAATTGAGAAAATAATAGTAGAAACGTGTGTAGGGATAATGAACTGTTCGGTGACTGTGGCAATGTGAGCGATAAAAGCCTGTATGTTACTTTCCTGCAATACTTTTGCAGGGAAGAATGAGTCATACCCCATTTTCACCTTGCTCATCATCAGTCACTGCTGTTCTGTCATCGACATTAGCATATAGTGTTTGTATATAGACTTAATACAGCTTGTTTACTTATGCCCATTATATTCAAAGTAACTTTGCAGTAAAATCCTGATTTTTAAAATGTATCGTGACGTGTGCTTGATTTTTTGGATACCTGATCTGATCCTACAATCTGGGTACCCAAATCCTCCTAATCCCCAATTAATTTGGATAGTCAGAGTTTTACTGTAACAATCTAAATTGACCTCATCCATAGCTGAGCGTTTCTCATGATTCAATGTCTTTTATTTTATTCAAAGACTTTGGTCTGGTTCTGGTTTAACCTAGCACCTGGCTATCTTTATATAACTGTTTGTTGAGGTGAAAGGTGAACCAAGAAAAGAATCGGTCAACATTAAAAAAGTTAAACTGATAAATAGTTCAAAGCACAGAATTAAAATATTTGATATTCATGCTACTCAACTAGCTAACAGTTTTTTTTTCAACACAGATCGTGTGTGACACCGGAACAGATCCGCCGTAAGCCTGGTCGAGAGATAGTGACGTTCCTGCTTGTTACCAACCTGGCCATGTGGGCCATCAACACACTGGAAAAGTCCCGCGCAGAGAGTCATCCGATACAGCTGCATTTCTACGGTCTCTGGGCTTGGACTATCATAACACACGTGTCCATGCCACTGGCAATCTTCTACAGGTCAGCTTGTCTAGGGCTAATGATTGATGTGCTAGTAAGCCAATAGCATTTGTGACGACAATTGTAAAAACTACCTACCTCTTGTTTAGGAAAACGACAAAAGCAGAAGGTGGTGCATTGTTGATCAATGACAACTGGCAAGCACAGCACTCAAACTATTTGTGGGCAGTAGTTAAGTGTTGTCTACTTGTGTAGCATGGCCTAGGTTTTTGATATCCCTAAAAAAGACCATGAATTCTCATTTGAGTTCAGCTTGGACATGGGTATGATTTGAATTAAATCGTTGAACTCACCAGAGACAAGTAGGACAATGTGTTTGGTAATCTCTAGAACTATTACTCTACCGTGATGACAGTTTTCAAACACTTTTTCAACTCATCATCATAGGCCTGTAGGGTGATGTACTGTGGTATTCCTAGTCCTATGTGCAAGTCAGTGCACCTATCTAACCAGATGTCTGGTTTATCAGTGCAAAACGTTACTATCGTTATCAAGCGTACGTGGTACCAGTTATCAACCAAATGTAGTTCAAGTATCTGAGGCTAAATTACCATTTTGGTTCCTTTTGAACAAATAAATCAAATAAATTAATGCCTAAAACATTGCTCCTCTTATTACAATGTTAAAAACTCTAATTCTAGTTTGCGCTGCTTCATCCAAGTTTTGGAGTGGAGCTCACCCATCTAGTATTATCTTTAGGGAAATTGCATATCAACTGTACTCACATTACTCATTAGTTTATCAATTGTATCCCTAGTGATTGTTTCATTGACTGGTTTAGCTAGTTGTAAACTGTTGACTGTCTGACCAGGTTTCACTCCACTGTCTGTCTGTGCGAGATCTGGAAGAGAGCCTACAAGATGAAGCCTGTGTACATGTAGGAGCGGAGGGGCCCAGTGTGGTCCGTGTCTGGCTAAACTGTGTTATGAAGCTCTCCAAGGTAAATCGACAATGAGAGTCTTACTTACCGTTTTATGTTGTTTTATGCCAAAGTATTTTTATTCTATTTATTTTATTTTTCTAAACACTGTACTGTTTATACCTATACAGATTTTCTCTCACATGTACAAACAGCTGTGTAGAAACATCAATTGAGTGATGTAATTAGGTATACGTATTCAGTGTAACCAAACGATTCATAAAATAGTGTATCTGGTCCTCAAGATAGAGTTTAATTTTTGTGTAACCAGCATCCATGTAGTCATCTTAGATAAACATTCTGTAAGATTTCCTGTATGAACATTATTTTTTGTCTACTCGGTTCACCTCAATCAGCTGTTTCACTCTAAGTTAAAAAAAAATTGTGTTTCAATGTTAATCTTATACAATGACAAATAATTTTAAGGACAAATTTTCTCTCTCTGTTGACAGATATTTTTGAAACAACTTCACAAAGATACACCAAAACAATCAAGGCACTTCATATCTTTTGAAATAATAATATCGACTAGATACCAAACTCCTATATAGATAACGACAGCTTTTATATTTAACATCTATGTAGGAAATTGTTTTTAAAATGTTAAACATAGGAAGCTTAATCGTTTCAAAGACTACTAGTTGAATGTTTTATTTCAAATCAAACTACTACAGTTAACACTAACTCAATGAAATGTATTCCTATGGTGTTTTGAGGTGGTTTATTCCTAGGATCAGTTACAAGTTGGTTGTTCATCGTTTTCTTTCAATGTTCCTAACATTTGTTCAATGTTATAAAAGTGTTCATGAAGACTGTCATTTAGCTATTGTAATTCAACCATAGTTCCGGTAGTAGGTAGATATTTTAGTTTCCAATCAAGTTGCTTTTTGCTCATCAATATTGATATTATGGAGTTAATAACTCAATTACCTAAATGTGTGTATGGTAGTAGGGTAACAAGTGTTTATATAGTGTTGAACCAAATGCGTTTGAGCCTGAATTGTGTTTCGTAAACTGTTGAGTCTGAATCTGTTTAACGCTCGCCTGAATCAACTCCTAAGTGTTCTAGATGCAATATTCTACTCGAGTAGTATTACAATGGTTAGTGTCTTTAAAGCCCATCATTGCCATTTTAATCTATACTTTTTATAAATAGTAGTATTGTGTGTAATTTTCACAAGTTTAGACCAAGAGATTTTGTATAACTTATACAGCCTATTTTTATCTAATAGTTCCATTTTGGTCATAGAGTTAGATTACTTATCAATAGGGTTGATATTTTTACAATACCAACTATACCACAAGTATACAATTTTCATATTTTCTATTGTCTGTATAGGATAGAGTTAAAGAATTGACTGTCTGACAATTGTGGTATATTTGATTTCAAAACAATTTTTATTCTAAGGAATATTTTTTGGTTTCACAAAAGGGGGATCTTTGGTTGTCACATAAGTTAGATTTTCTGCCAACAAATCCTTGTGTTACGACACAATCAGTAGCAACATACCATATAACGGTTTTAGGATTTCATACTTTGCTCAAAAACTTCAAAGGTGCTTTTGCGGTTAATGTAACTTTGCAGTTGTTAGACATTCAGTTCTTTGCTGCAGTTAATCTCTAACATATCTTAGTGTTCATATCACCAACTGTCTTAAATGTGGACGTGGACCAAAACTCGATGGTTGATCCCAGAAATCGTAATCGTATAGTATTATTCCTTGTAATCAATTTATCTGTTTATTTTACTTTCTGCTTTATAAAACTTTCCTTGTAGGAATGGCATTGCACCATTAACAGGCTCTTATTTTCATACAGTTTATCCTCATATCTTGGATCTTTTAGTTAGGATTATTTTTAATATTTATTTGTTCTATTGAAAAATTACTAACTTTATAACATTCATTGTTACATTCCCTACTGCTAATATTCTCTGTTTATAACCAAACAACTTATCACAAATTCTATATTGTAACACAAAACTTTCTACTTGCAACAGATTAGATTTGTATCGCACAAAACAAAATATCTTGTCATTCCTAGATTGAAATGTTTAAAATAAGCCAGTTGTTTAAATGTTTTTTACAAGCCATTAACTATTAAAAATGTACAAAGAGGAGTTCCTAATGTGGCTTGCCAAGAACTTAATAGTTTGAAAGTTGTATTTGCAAAACTTTTTGGGTTGACAGCAGGTGTATCTTCATTTTCAATTTTGTAATTATAAAATTTTGAAGGTATGTAAAGAATTTAATTAAAAGAATAGTACCGTACTAGTTATTTTTATCAAACACCTGGCGATGGATAGGGAAGCATAAATAGGAAATACTTTTTTGAAACAAAAGCTATGAAAAGAAACGGTTACCATACCAGGAAAGTCAAGCACTACCTTAAAGCAATCGTGGCTAAGTAGTGATTCAACCAGTGCTAACAACATGAGTATTTAATTGGTTAGCCAAATTTTCATTCAAAAGCCACATGGATGTAAGTAATATCTAATTTATATGAATTTGCAATTTTTCAAAATTTCTTTTTAAGAAAATGCTGTCCCAAACCATTAAGTTTTGTAAGAATAACTACTGATCATTGTTGATGTTTATTTCTCTTATAGTTAAACTAATGGTTCGATTTTCCACTGTCGTTTACGTCCGTCGTTAGTAAAGTAGCATTGACGTGAGTAGCTGTCAATAGTTGTCGTCTTCCGAGGGTAAGACTGGAGTACAAAATGGCAGACTAAGCAGGACCAGCTTTTCTATTCAAATGGTTTTAGTAGATACAGAATTGAATCCCAAGGTGAATTTTGTCCAATGTTTATGATTAAACCATAAATTGAACCTATTTATTTTCATATACATTTTGGAAAATAAGGAGGAGTTAGTATTATTTGAAACTTGTAAGGGTTGGGTACGGAAATGTGTACATATGACTGATACCTTCAGAACTATGAACGTACTCGTTAGACTTTTCCTTCTATACGTGTTTTGTAAAATAATTGTCTTTGAGTGTTTAATGCTAGACTATGTGAATATTTAATGAGCAAGATCGTTGGTATTTGTAATGAGTTTTTAAAAGCATTTTACGGTTTACAATAAGTGGATTTTTTTCAACTAGAAATAAGGGGAATTTAACACATTTGCTACCGCAAAAGTACTAAATTTTTCATTCATATGGACCAGCGACACACAAATGCGACGGCCAGTTTCCACCCATAGACTACCGTCGCATATTTGTGACACCTGGTCACATTAAATTAGACTGACATCACATATTTGCGTCAGTGTCCAATATTATTAAAAAGCTTATAACTTTGTAACGGTCTATCTGAAGGCCCTGAATTCTCTGCAGTAAACTACAGGGATGTATGTCGCATATGTGAATCACTTGGTCAGTGGATATGATGATTAGTGACGTCATAGCTGGCAAAACTGATTTTTACTTTGCTGCATCATTGGTCCGTGGTCTGCATGTACTGTTAACCAAGTGTCTATGTGTAATATTAAAATGTATACCTCTCGGGCCCTGTGGTAATGACCGCAGCGTCCCAAATATGTGGTGATTGGTAGCGAAGGTGTTAACAGGCCAGAAGTTCGCATGATGTTACATAAGATAATTTTTACAGTTCCTCTTTTACTAAAACTAGTTGCGCTTTTTGTCTTTTGGTGGAAAGCATTGGACCAATCCTACCTCATAAAAACCTTTATAGTACATTTCCACATTACCTACTGCTCCAATATATATTATTTCTCTTTTATTTAGGTTAGGTATAAACAGTGGAACCTTGATAAGAAGATAACAAGTCGTCCTTGATAACAAGTGTCATTTTCAAATCCCCTGAAAATTATTTTACCCCAAATCACATGTTATTACAAACCTCAATAAGAAGTCAACCTTGATAACAAGTCTTATTTTACAATCCCCATGATAGTCTTGTTATCAAGGTTCTACTGTACTCTTATTTGTAAAACAATTTTAATATTTATGTACAGTGTAATATATTATTGAGATGTTTCTGCATGTTTTGTAATAACTGTATATTTTATGATGCATTCAATTTTTGAGATCAGATAGGGTTGGTTTACTTTTGTGTAACAAACTGTTTGATTTGTTCTAGCAGTTGTAGTGTGTAAAATTGATAATATCTATTTACTGATAACATTTATTTTAGATAATGGCTATTTCCCTCCTAGACCAAATGTTCAGGTACCAAAGAAGCAATGCTGCATTTAATGTTGGGTTAAGTGATGTTGAAATGTCCAGTGAATTTTGTTATGTTATATGAGTGTGTATTGTATATTTGAGCTACTTTCATGACTACTTTAATACTCGTTAGCAATAATTACCAACTTTATAGTTTAGTGATTTAAATCTTATATATTGTGTGCCATATTTCAATTTTATAATCATTGAATTTTATAGTTTTACTACGTAGTTAAGTTAAAATATTGAATGTTGATATTAGTAAATTTAAAAAATGATTTCACGTTGTTAGTAAGTTTATTGTTATTTCAAGAGTTTTAACGCTACAACTATTTATTTATGTTAAAATTTTAACAAATTTTTGTTTCATTGCTAGTGTAATCATAAATAATTATTTGTTTACAGCAATCATTGATGTGTACCAAAGCTAAATCTCAAATCCAAATACCGTAACCATTATTTGAATCTGAAGATAAGCACATTTAATTGCGCCAACTAATTGTTCTAGAACCTATCAAAAGTTAGTGTCAAAACATTCTCTTCTGTGAATCAATACATCAATGTCCTGGATTGACCAAAATAAGCGACCTCCCCTACTTGAGCAAATATAGTCTTGAGTCTTTTACTCATACAAAATTCTAAATATAGTCTTTTGCTGTTAAAATTAAAAGTACAGTATACAAATTGAATTTAAATGTTAAAACCTGATGGTTAGAATTGAATATGTATTCTATGGAATTGAGATTTGAAATCACTACTTTTGGTTGTAACTAATATCGTCTGTTGATCATTTTAAAAAATGGCCTGTTTCTAACTACTAGCTTATGTGGTTGTGTTTAATTGCTGTTTAAATGTTTGTAATAAATATTTGAAAAAAGAATTAATGCAATTGCAATGGTAAAAAGTCCTCTTTAGTTTCACAACACAATTTCGTTAAACAAATTACCTTATTTAAAAATGTCAATCTGTCCTTTTTTCTGGATAACGGTTTTTCTGGTTAAACCAACGGCCCCAAAAACTCGTTATGCAACCCAAATATTTGACTTAAATTTAGGAGAGCATTGTATTTAGATACGAGATCACTAGTCTCAAATCTTTCCCACGAGAACAGTCGTTTCAGTACCGCCCACTTCCTGCCGATCTAGTTCAGTTAAATCGATGTGCTAAAAAAAATTGTTCTGTTAAAGAGATGTCATTTCCGCCGAGTTTAGTCCGGTTTAACCGATGTCCAGATAAGAGGGAGTCTACTGTGTTCTTTCAAGATCTTTTGAGCCGAGTATGTCCAAACGTTGATTTACATAGAAGTAGTTGTAGTACTAAGGTAATTACAAATCAAACAAATAAACAAGATCACAGCTTGTCTACCTCCTATATTCAGTTATCAAATAGATGCATAAATTTAGGCCTCAGACTAAAAACGCATACTGGAATTCAATTAAAAAATATCTAACGTAAAGGTCAATTTCACAAGTGGCGGACCACAAACGTTACCTATATCCTCAACATCCATGCTTGCCAGGAAACACTATGTGAAACATGTAATTTATTGTAATATGCTTGTTGATTAATTACTTGACCAGTCTTTTCACTCTTATTAATAACAAGAATTATATAGGACTATTAGTATTAAATTAACCGTACTAGATTTTATACCAAACCTAATCAGTTCAAAATTGAAAAGACCTTATCGTATGCGTATGCGAGTTTTAAATTACTGAATGTTTGATGTAATTTTGAGTTTTGACTTGAATTATTCTCAGTAGGCATTAGTATTTTTACAAAAGTAGTGACCGCAGTTGCGTACAACTATATTCTACACTTTGGTTGTGTTAGATAAGAGATCAAAATCACCGTGATAAAACCTCCTATTTTTTATATGTGATTTTATAATGTATTTTGTAACATTTCCCACAAAACTAGTCGAGTACAAATTAGTTGATTTAAAATGATAAAGAAACATTCTTGCTTATCGTCATGTTGCTATTTTACCTCATGATGGAATAATATGTGAGTATTAATAAACTTTATACCTTAAAATTATTTTTGTCTCATTTAAACCTTTTTGTAGTGTAATGGTCTATAAGATATCAGAAATTTACCAATCCTATTTTAGCCACACTCAAGTTCCCTCTGATTTAAGTTTAATTCTAATTCCACTGTAAACTACCACAGAAGTAAGATAGGCTACAGAGGATACAAGCTATGGGACAACTGTGCACTTTTAGCTGTGGTATGATAAAGGTCAATTCCCACACATCAGTTACGGCACGTCGCAGTCCAGTCACTTCAGGCACGTCACAGTTAACAAAAATATTCTTTAATGGATTTTCTATTGCGCTATCTACACTCATTCGTTGCAGTTCCGTCAGTCAGTTTCAGATTTCTTTCCACCAATATTTTTGGATTGTTTGGACGCCTGACGGACCTGTTTGAGGTTAGACAATAGTGTTTTCGTTATTTAAATGATTGTGTTTATATTTTGAGTAGTATTTGTAACAATTAACAAGATGGACAGTTAAAATTTGATCTAATTTTTGACTGTAAATTAATGTAAATATTAGAGACGGAAGAATGACTGAAAAAAACTGACGGATAGTAGACTGAGAAATTGCGGATGCAACTGAGACTGAACTGTAACTGGACTGTAACAGAACTGTGACTGAAGTGATATGTGTGAATCGATCTTAAGGCGGAAATGTACTTGTACCGAGCAAGGAAGAGCCATAACGGCGATGGCCACAATAGCAAGTTGTACAGCACTTGTAGCCCACAGGGTCTTTCTACAGCATGAGTACTGTAGTACACAATGGGAGGGAGGAAAGGAGAGCGGAAGGGGCCGACAAATAGAATTTGCTCTAGACACCAGTGACTGGTGCTAGACACCACATATTGGATGTATCCTCTGTATCTTGCTTCTCTGTGATACTACAAACCCTCATCAATCCGGGTATGAACCACGGTTTTACAGATTTTCCATTTTCAGATTAATGAGGGCTTATAGTTATATCACTCTCAACTGAAAGGGGAATACACTAAATCTGTGGGTCACATCCATAGATGGCACCATACACTATAAAGTAACCTCAGCTCCCCTCTAAAAGGTCTAAATAAGTCAATTCAATGTTTGAAAATTTTGTTTCTCTTTACATTTGAGCTTCAAAAAAACATATGTAAAGAAACATTTCTATTAGAGTATATGTTTAGGTATTTACAACATTTGTAGGCTTTGTATGATTAAAAAACCTTCCAATGATTAGAAATACCTGCAATTCATATACTGTAGCCTAATATGTCTGATCAATGCAACATTCCCTCGTCTAGAGGATAAGTTAGCATTGAGATAGTCAAAGGTAGCTATTACTTAATGTTGGCCTTGGTTCAGGACCACCATACTTTTTTGTTACAGTACAATATTAGATGTTTATTATGTGTCTTGTCTTTTCTTCGGCTTTCAACAACATTCTCTACAATACCTCAGGATTGGACCTGTTCTTTATTTTCATTAGTCTAGTATTAATCAGCTATATATTAAATACTAATTAGGCCTAAATTTAATTTAAATATTACTTTTTTATTTAAATACTTTAGCAAATGTGGTCGCTAGTACATATAAAATATTGTATATTTCGTACCTAGGGCCGAAAATGAGGTTTTGCTGGCTCGAGAACGATCGAAAGCTGCAAAAACATTTCCGTCCACTATTTTTCACCACACTATACCTACCCTATTACCACTATTAACCACAATAATAATGCACACTGATAGTCCACACAACTACAACTTTAAGGTTATGTGAAGAAATAATTTGAAGTATCAATAAAAATAATAAATAAATAGTTGCTAGGCAGCGGTGACAATAAAACATTTCTATTGCAATGCTATGGATACTGATTGTGTATTTAATATGCATTCATGTTTAAGAAAGTAAGCGGGCAGCTGATTTTGCGGCCCTAGGGATGTAAAACCCTGCTCGGTCCCCAAATGACAATGACAGCTGGCATGGCCAGCAAAACGTAACATTCAGTCACCAATTAACTATTAACGAATGTAAAACAGCTAAAAACATCATAGTGTGGTGAAAAAACATTTTAAAGGGGATTTAAAACTGCAAAGTATAAGAGCGTCAAAAAATAGGGACTTTAATAACTGATACAAGTTTACAAAATAAAAGTACTATATTTATTGCATATCTAAACAAATAATTACATTACAGTGATAACTTTACAGATCAGTCAAATATACTTCTTGTAGATTTTTAAAGGAATGGTTTATAATTATAAAAAAACTTTATAATAATGAATTATAAACAAGATTTTCTTCTGTTTCGTACACACTTTTACTCATATCGAAGTGAAAAATTACATGAATAACATATGGCTTATCCCTGGGGGTAAGTGTAAATATGTAGCAAACCTGAACCGTCTCACAGAGCATTATTAACTCATTTAGTTCCAAATTTAGATGGATTTATACCTCACACAGCTAGTTTTTGCCTGATCAAGATGGACAAGGACCTGTACCATACATCTACTGCCAAAATGCCAAGTCATTTCCTAATAACACAAGGAACATACTTCTTTCTTGGGGATATCAAATAGGCTGACCACTATTGTTGGTGGAAATGGTTATCTTGAAGATGATAGGGTAAATGACACCTGGACCTGCTAGTCACGATTCACTGCACAAAAAGATCAATATGAACTTGATTGCGGTCTAGGTTTAACATAGAAAATAAACTGAACGCCAGATACGGTGTGAGGTCACTTAATGTAAAAAATAAGTTTGATGAAAATATATCCATAAACAAGCAAACTACAACAGTTTACTTATTTTCCATAAGAATAACATGGGAATTATTAATTTGCATTTTATTTGATTTTTCTCCATAACCGTTAAGCATACAACAACGCTTCAATATACAGTACTAAATTATTCATACAACATGGTTGAAAAAGAAATTGAGAAATTTTATGTTTTCAGGGTAAAAAATGGAAAAAACCAATTTTTACCCTTAAAACCCCCCATTAACCCCTTCTACATCTTCAAGCCAAATTTCATCAAAATTGGACGAAAATTACTCAAGTTATCACATTCATGGACATATATATAAACACATAAATCTATTTGTATAAATGTATATATTTATTTATTCATTTATACATATATAAAAATTTGAACAAATAGTGTTTCTGACCTTTAGGGACATCAAACTGAAAAAAATAAATCAGTCCCAGGTCTAGGTCTTACCATGCCACCCACCTACAGTAATAGTTACTTCCCTATAGGGAAATTCGCTAAAAGAGTAGATTTTTTATTTAGCAGTCTGATTAGCAGCAGTCTAAGAGATCAGACTGACCACATGTTCGCTAAAGCATTTTCTTTTTCTTCCTTAAAATAACTAGCACTGTGCTTGAAACCAAATTTTTGAAATTCAAAACAAACATATTCAAAAACAAGTAGAACAAGGCAGCATCTCATATTAAATATGTCGATACAAAACAAAGTCGATAAACACACACACACTAATCAAATAACATTTAACTCAAAAAAAGTTATCATACATACAAGTTACAAGTTTAATATGATTAATATTTATTTTAAACCCCTATGAAAATAATACTTAACAATAGCCACATTTTGTTAACTTTTAACATAATTGATCACTTGTGCACTAAATACAACCAGCGTACATTTCAGCTTAGAACATATGATATATTAAATTTTATTAATCCTCTTCACTTTTCTATTTTCTGCTAATGGAATCGTGTTGGCCCTACTTATAAAGGTAGCTTATTGTTGAATGCTCTAAAAAGCCACAGAACCAGTCTGCTTTCAATAATAATATTGAACACCAAAGCCGACTCAATTAAATTAACTATTTTCCTCTGTGACAACCCCTGCATAAAGAATGTCCTCAATAATACTCAAGGCTTCTTGTTTGAACTTGAGTTTTGGATGGTTTGACATGCGTGCAATGTCAGGTAATATGCTTTCAAAGAATTTTAAGTCGTCATCTTTGTAGGTTCTTGGTTTGCTCTCTTCCGTCTTTACTTTTTTAGAAGGATTGGCTGTTTTGGTGACATTTTTTGGTGGTGATCTCTTTGACTTGTGATTAGATGTTGTTGGTTCTTGTATAACTTCTGGGGTGATTTCCATCCACTCCGAGTCACTCACTCCTTCAACATCCACTTCTTCTTCTTCTTCTTCTTTGATGACATTACACAATTCTGTCCTAAATATGTCTGGGTAACTTTCTTTTGGAGGCAATACTTCTTTCAAATAAGTAGGTAAATGATCAGGGTGGCATTTTTTTGATTGCAAGAAAACTCTGAAACATAACAATATTGGATTAATAATTTCTTAAAGTTAAATTACTTTATAGGTGTACTAGCAGAAATACCCGGCTTTGCCCAGGTACAAATATAATATACAATAAAGGTCATAGAAGATGCACTGTAGCCTACATAAATCTTGGCACTTTTAAAGCTAGAAACATGTGAAATATTCCTTCTCTAGATATTAAAACATTATAGACCAACTACTATCACGACCTTCATATTTTATTATGTACCAGCATTTTATATAGTGCATTGCACCCAATAGTAGAAATCTCTGCCTAACCCGGGCATAGGCGAGACCCTGTCGTATGTTTTGCTATTATATTTTCAACATTATCCATAACACTCCCTGGAGGTATTTATATATTTTTAAGACACACATTTTGTCAAACAAAACTTTCAGAAAAAAGTAGGCTATTCTCTGAGGATACAAATTGTTGAATAAGTCAGTAGCAAGAGATCGGAGATATATTAAGCCTACCTAGTACCTATGCAACACTCCGCAACAGTGAAATCTATCTGTTGTTTGAAATTAGGAACGTGCAAAGTAATTAATAATCAAGAAGGTATTTATGTATAAAGTTGGGTGATATTCAATATTTAGGGGAAGGCTTGAGACATTTTTTCTCAAGGGCGCTCCAAACCTGGCTAGCCCCACTATATTATATACTAAAGGTATATAATATGTAGCTATTGAGAATACGAGTTAAAAGTTTGATCGATGTCTGAACTGTTTTCTCAGTCATTTGCTCAATTGTCTCTGGTGTTATTTTACAGACTTATATGACGAGAGATAGTTAAAGTTGGAAGAAAATAAGAAGTTTTATAAAGCATAGTAGAGCCAGCCCACACATTTAGTCTGTTAGTAGGCCTATTTATAAACGGTATCAGCAATCTGACACATACTTTCACTCATTAGCTTGACAATAGCTGTTATCATGGGTAAGCAGTGGGATTAACTTATAGGTATTTTATAGTGAAAATAACAAAAGTTGCAATAACCTTTGAACCGTAATTTTTACAGCAATGGGGAGTTGTACTATTTTGTTTAGAATTATAAGGACCACAACATACTAATTTAAATCAAAACTGGCTTTTTCTCCAAATCCAATTTTCCGTTTTTTTTTTTTTTTTTGTGGAAAAATGACATAAGTTACAATCACTTTTGAACTGTAATTTTTACGGAAATGGGATTTGTACCTACCATTTTGTTCCAAATTTCAAGGACCATAACGTACTAATTTTAGTTGAAACTGCTCTTTTTCCAAAATCTTATTTTTGTTATTTTATGGGGTTTTATGGGGAAATAACCTAATTTTCAATAACTTTGGAACCGTTGTTGTTAGGGAAATGGGATTTGTACCATTTTGTTCAGAATTTAAAGGACTTATAACATACAAACATTTTATTGAAATCGTTTCAGCCATTTTTTGCTAATTATTTTGTTTTTTTGTTACATTTTTGTGAAAAAAACATCATTAAAAATCAAATTTATAAAACATCAGATAGATGATAAAGATAAAGATGATAAAGATACCATAGATTAGTTAGTACCTACATACCAAATTCCATCAAAATCAGACCATAGGTGTGGTCTGTAGCTCTGTACACATCCACACATACAAACATCACTTCAAGAACCACTTTTTTGGGCCCAGGGGATCCAAAACTGATATATCCACTCAAAACTCAAACTCAAAAATTTTTAAAAAACAATATTTTCCCCATAATTATACTACAGGGGGAGAAAGCAAAAATACTAACTGACTCATATTATTATAGGTACTGTACTAGCTGTTTGTTACCCGCAGGCTTCGTTTTACTTCATAAGTTAAGTATTAATAAAGCTATTGATTGCCATACCGGCTAGGGTGGCATGTCGAAAGGCTTTTCACGGTTACTTTGAAAAACAACAATGGACCTAATAAGCTGTCAGGGCGGAGCCCTAGTAGATTATTAAAATAAAAGATTACTATGTCCTTTAAGCCTTTGGTTATATTGGCTCTACTCATGGAAAAAAATCAACTCAATTAGGCCTAATTGGTCAAGTAGTTTTCACGTTATTGACACACTAAAAACATATTACAGTATTAATTTCTTCCATCCAAGTCACTTGATCAGTATAATGAACTAAAATTATTAACAGAAATGTCTTTGGAGGAAAACAAACACAATACTTTTTATACAAATTTTGGAAAAAGTAAGTCAATAAGTTGATGAATTATGCACTTAAAAATTAAAATCGCCCTATTTGCACAATACCACAAATTATTTATATAATTTAAGTTTAATTTTATATTCACATCTACAGTACTTTAATTTGCTTCATGACAATTTGTAAAATGCAATCTCACCTATCCTATTGTACTTTATTGTACCGAATGGAAATAAACATATTTGATTTGATTTGATTTGACTTGTTGCTTCTTAGTTTGTTTGAATATTGCAGAAACTCTATAATCAATTTTTTTCCTAGTTGTGTGATTTCTGCATCGAACGATGTACGGTATTTCAATTTGTTCATTTTTAATATAGGTACTAAAAAGTCAAAATTTAAAAAATGTTGATTATGGTTTCTACGATAAACGATCAAATTAGCTGTTGTCATTCATTCAACAAAAAATTAATAGTGCTGCACCCTGTTGGTAAACCTTGTAACTTTATAATGCTCTTGAACATCACAGCACCAACTTGTTTAACTGAAACAGCTGTTAAGATGCATTAATTCCTTTTAAATATGAATACACATTAGGTTAACATGGGAAACTCCAGATCCACTGGGGCGGAGCCCAAAAGTCCAATCAGAATAAAAACTAGGCCTACTTAGTTTTCCTTTTTAATGCCAAAAGAATCAGTGTACCAAATTTCAGCCTCTGACGTAAATGGGAAGTAGGAGAATTAAGTTAGTGATGAGTGAGCGAGTCAGTTAGCGAGGGCTTTGCATTTTATAGGTTTAGAAGATTTGAATGCACTATACACTCACCTCACTCTATCCACTACATATGGTAACAGGAAATCCAGGTAGTCGGCCAAGTAGTAAGCTTTCCGCTTGGAATTGAGAACAGAGTATTTCAAGTGACGAATATAGCATGACTTGATGCTGAACCACCTTTCTCGGCACAAGCTTTCTGGAACCATAAGGGAAAATTACATTTAAACCTCTTCTAGTGGGAATCTGTGAAGGAACTGAGAAGAACTAGAGTCCTAATTGAGCTTATTGTGATAGACTGTGTTTAATTCAAGAGGCAATGGTCAAAGAAAAAAATTATATATTTCAGCGAAGAAGCTTATTTGCGTGGTGCATGGGGCTATTTTGTTCATATTTTGTTCCATGCAGATACTGTAGAAATATACAGGGAGCTGAAAAGTAACTTGCACCCCCCTTAACTTTTCAACCCTACTTACTTACTTTCCGTGTCCGGAAATCAGACTTCGCTTTCCAAAAATTAGCTACCGATATGGCTTTGTCATTCGCATGTAAAAGATCATCTAATGTGCAAGACTGGTCTAGGCGTGGGCAGATCAGCAGATGGCTAGGATCCTGAACAGCACCACAAGCGCACAAGATGTTTTCTTCGTCTGGTAAGGGCCCTTTCACACGAGGCCACTGGTTGCCCGCCACAGCTTTAACATTATTTTAAATGGGACCTTTCACACGCAGCCACTGTAGTTGCCCGCCACTACACAGTGGCCGAGCAGTGTCTCCTCGCGCAACTGCTAGTCGGCAACCGCCGGCAACTGCAGTGGCGGCAACTCGTCGCGGGGCATTGAATTAAATGGGAGCTTTCACACGTAGCAACCAGTGGCCGCCACCGTGGATGAGCGCGCAACTACTATTTTGCATCAGTTCACGTGCAAAACGCACTATGGTAGTTGTTGAGTGTTTTCGTGTTGACTTGTTTGTTTGTGAATATAAGTGATCAGAAGAAAAATAAAGAGGACGTTGCTGAAAAAGAAAAAGACAAAGAAAAACAACAGAATAAGAGAATAAACAAAATAATAGAAGACAAAGTGGATACTGAAGATCTAATTTGCGAAATTGAAGAGTAACCGGCAATTTGGTATAGTACGCCTGTGTCTTTACCTTATTTTCTTTATTATCAACGCGAGAAGAAGATGTTCATTGTTCAACAGCATTTTCACAACTGCCATTGTACAGTGGCTGTAGTAGAGTGGCTTGTAAGTTGCCTGTATCATCCACTGCAGTTTCCCGGCCGGTAACTGGTGGCGGACACCGGTGGCCACCACCAGTGGCCTCGTGTGAAAGGGCCCTAAGTGACCCCATTTCTGTATGTTTGTCTTGCATTTTGGTACCTCGACCCTAATTCGATTTAGGGTCTTCCACACCGTGTAATGAAGGCCTCCACCAGGAGCCAGTTCCTCCCTTGCTGGTATGGGAGGGTTAGTCAACGTGGCCTCCCAACTTGCCACCCGATTGCTTGAGAGTGATCCATCCAGGACTTGTGTCCGTGATAAAAAGCTCTTTCTGGACCGAAGCCGTCGCTCTGCAGGTTGGTGGCCGTGTAATGGGTGACGAAGGTCTGTCTCTTGCTTAGTCCTTTCTGCGTCGGCAGCGACATCACGTCGGATTGATGGAGGGACGATCCCTATGATAGGATAGAGTTTGTGTACTGGGGTTGGTTTCAAACACCCAGTTACAATCCGAGCCATGTCATTGACTGAAATGTCAACCTTTTTTGCATGTGACGATGCATTCCATACTGGTGCAGCGTACTCCACAGCCGACACACTGAGCGCTAAAGCTGAGGTTCTGAGGACATTAGGGTTAGCACCCCAGCATCTGCTGGTGAGCTTCCTGATGATATTATTCCTCGCTGAGACTTAACCTCTTGTCGCAATACAATGCGCCTTAAATGTCAGTGTGCGGTCCAGGGGCTATAATTATTAAGATCAATTTTGAAAATTTTGCCCGTGGGGGTAGGGGGTAGCTCAAAATTTTCAAATGACAAGTATAGTCGAGTTTTTTTTATCATTTTACAGGTCTTGACAAAACATACAAATTTACATAAAGAAAACCAAAATTGGTCCACTAATAACAAAATGGGGCCCTAAAACGTTTCAAATCCAAATAGGGTCAATCCATTTCAAGTGGTCCAGAGGTGGTTGCTTCAAGATTTTTAATTTTTTTCATATTTTTATCCTTGAAAGTATATATTATTAGAAGTACAAAAATACAATTATTTTATTTTTATTTTATTTTTCTACTGTATGGCGGCAATTTTTTTGTTACTCGAACGGCCGTTTTCAGCGATTTCAGAGCTCTGCGTAAAATTTAATATCTCTGGTTCTACTAATCCTAGAACATTAAAATAAAAACCAATCTCTTTAGAAAGATCTGAACTTTAATATGGTAATATATTGATGCACTTAAAACTAAATATATAGGTTTAATTACCTGTTTAAAGTTTAACGCAACGATGTTACGAATACTGATTTTAAACAATTTATTTTTATATAAAGTCAATTGATTATGTGTTTGTTATTTTTTTACCTGATAGTTATAGGTGTGTTTTCCAAATTCTCAAAGTTTCAAGTTGTGGAATTGCATAGGGTTTTAAATAAAAATTTTCAAAATCTTAAAATTTTCAAAATTTCAAAAGTTTGATGCTTAATATCTTTGTTGGGCATGAAAATAAAAATTTCTAATTTGACTCAGATATAGTACTAAGTAAGAGTATTATGCTGTAATAATTTTATTTTGTGGACTCAACTGGTTTCAAAGTTATGAAACATTGAAAAGTACTAAATAAGCATTATAGTTGTAATAGCGTAGGAAGCATAATGTTATATATTATAACTTACTATCAATGTATTTTTTAACACTTTTATATTTTAATCATATATTTTAAGCATTTTGAGCTCTTTTGTTTTCTGCCACAGGTTCAAATCTGTGAGAGGATTGTCTTCAGGGAATTGGTAGACGTCCTTTAAGTCAGAATTGAAGTTCAAATTTAATTTTTTTGCTAATTCTTTGCTGTCTACATAAAAGTATTGAATTCCTTTAAGGGTTTGTTTTAACAAAAGTTAAACATATCCTTAGCATTCAAAATTTGGTTGTCTATGGTACATTTTAGACTCTATTAGTGACATCGCTCTTTGTAGTGCCTCCTACACCATCGGAAAATATTGACTCCACTTTAAATATATAGAAATGATTTTTATATTAATATTGTTTTGGTTTTCAATTCAATGTGTTTTATTTTTAATCCTTTTTGTTTATGTTCATAAATCTAAATTTTAATTATAATACATGTTATCTTTTACATGTCTTATACATATCTTATACATGTCTGACATGTTATCTTATGGGACGTCTGGCACTAAACAACCCTACTTGCGACGTTGCAAACTCTACGCGGCCTGGAGTTAAAGGTGGCTATGGCTATACAGTATCATAAAATGATTTCTTAGAGAAATATTCAGTCACAGGTACTACAACAATAGCCTACCAGCTGCGAGGCATTTTTTGCTACTGCGCAAGGAAAAAATTCCTGCAATGGTGTAGGAGGCACTACCAAGAGCAAAGTCACTAATAGAGTCTACAATGTACCATAGACAACCAAATTTTGAATGATAAGGATATGTTTAACTTTTGTTAAAACAAACCCTTAAAGGTATTCAATACTTTTATGTAGACAGCAAAGAATTAGCAAAAAAATTAAATTTGAACTTCAATTTCGACTCAATGGACGTCTACCAATTCCCTGAACACAATCCTCTCACAGATTTGAACCTGTGGCAGAAAACAATTTTAAGAGCTCAAAATGCTTAAAATATATGATTAAAATATAACAGTGTTAAAAAATACATTGATAGTAAGTACATATGACTACTGTTATATAACAAGTATATAACATTATGCTTCCTACGCTATTACAACTATAATGCTTATTTAGTACTTTTCAATGTTTCATAACTTTGAAACCAGTTGAGTCCACAAAATAAAATTATTACAGCATAATACTCTTACTTAGTACTATATCTGAGCCAAATTTGAAATTTTTATTTTCATGCCCAACAAAGATATTAAGCATCAAACTTTTGAAATTTTGAAAATTTTAAGATTTTGAAAATTTTTATTTAAAACCCTATGCAATTCCACAACTTGAAACTTTGAGAATTTGGAGTACACACCTATAACTATCAGATAAAAAAATAACAAACACATAATCAATTGCCTTTATATAAAAATAAATGGTTTAAAATCAGTATTCGTAACATCGTTGCGTTAAACTTTAAACAGGTAATTAGACCTATATATTTAGTTTTAAGCGCATCAATATATTACCATATTAAAGTTCAGATCTTTCTGAAGAGATTGGTTTTTATTTTAATGTTCTAGGATTAGTAGAACCAGAGATATTAAATTTTACGCAGAGCTCTGAAATCGCTGAAAACGGCCGTTTGAGTAACAAAAAAATGGCCGCCATACAGTAGAAAAATAAAATAAAAATAAAATAATTGTATTTTTGTACTTCTAATAATATATACTTTCAAGGATAAAAATATGAAAAAAATCAAAAATCTTGAAACAACCAATTAATTTATTTCTGGACCACTTGATATGGATTGACCCAATAACCATGAGGGTGGCTGAAAATTAACTTGCACCCCCTTTAACTTTTTAACTATTTGAGATATTTGAAATCGGTTTGTGGCAACTTGTTTGGATATGAAAGGGTACAATAATTATGGCCAGTTTTGAAAATTGTGCCCTTAGGGGTAGCGGGGGTAGGGGGTAGCTCAAAATTTTAAAACAGCAAGTATAGTCGAGTTTGGTATCATTTTACAGGTCTTGACAAAACATAACAATTAACATAAAGAAAATAGAAATCGGACCATTAATAACAAAATGGCAGCTAAAAATGATTAAGACAATGGTAATTAAAAGTAATTTTGAACTGCCATTTTGTTAAACTAGCTTTTTTAAAAAAATTAGATTTTCTCTTATTTTATGGGGTTTTTAGTATAAAAACAACATATGTTACAATAGCTTTTGAGCCATAATTTTTACAGGAATGGGACTTCTACCATTTTGTTCAGAATTTAAAGGGCTACAACATACTACATTTTTATCTAAATCATTCGAACCATTTTTGAGAAAGTTCAATTTTTCTGTTATTTTGGGTTTTTAAGGGGAAATCACCATTGAAAATCAAAGTACCTACATACCGCATGTCATCAAAATCTGACCACAGATGTTGTCTGTAGCTCTGTACACATCCACACATAGGTACAGACACACCGACATCACTTCGAAACCACTTTTTTGGGTCCAGGGAGAACCCAAAACAGATCCACTCAAAACTCAAAAATGTTGACGAGAACAATATTTTCTCCATCCCTACTAACATAGGGGGAGAAGTTTCAGCAACCGTTTTGTCTGTTCTTTTATTTCTTATTACCTAGTATGCCAAACAGTTAGTTAGGAAACTAATGTCTTGTCAGATTAAAAGAAACTCAAATTCAATACTTCTTCAATACCACTTCTATCTAATGTTTAAAGTTGATTATAACACCCTTTTAATCAAAATAATTTTTTTACGTTTTAAGTCTTATGAACATAATTGTAGCGGTGAATATATACGTCCAACACTCACTATAAGGAATGCATTGAATATACGTCCAATGCTTGTTAATTTTGTTTAGGAAAAACTTTTATTTAAATTGTTAAAATTGTTAGGTATAGGCTACCTAAGTTGATCAAATAAAAAAATCATTATAAGAACAATATGACGTCTTCATTACAGTATTACCAAAAGACAAAACAGACTTATCTAAGTTAATCATTTATAATACAATAAAAATAAGTTATTGATTCCGATCATTCAATCTTTAAACATCATTTTTAATGAAAACACTACACATTCTAAAGCACTGAATATTACACTAATCTTATCCAACTAGATTAACTTTAGTCAAGAACACGTAAAAATACTGTCAGTGCGAAACAATAACATGAGGATGACCCTGCGGTCGGTTTTGAAAACAACAGATGTTTCGAGATCAGTGAAAAAGGTTATCACAACAATAATAGACCTATTGATTAAAGGCCTAAGGTTGACGGCCAAGAAACAATTTTAAAATTCATAAATAACGTTTTCACATTTTAACGTGTACAAAAATTACACCGTAAGTTAGGCTGCACTTGTGACCTTCAGATTGAGTTGTATATATGTCCAACACTTGCAACTGAATTGCGTCGTTGACGTAAGTTATATATACAACCATCACTCGGGAAGGGTACAAGAGAGATGATTTTCCAGAAAATATTTATGCTAAACTGTAGGCCTACTTGAAAGTCATTTAAATATAAATTAAGGTTGGTATCCAAACTAACGAAGCATGATTCTGATAAAAACTACATCTCATATGAAAAGAAAAATAAATAACTTAACCTTAAGTTATAAGCTAGGCCTACAAGTAGCCTAATGGGGAACTTGTCGACTCTTCCCGGGCCTGTCGTCACCAGAAGGTGCACTCATACAACACAAGACGAAGAAATGATTACAACCTTCCTGCTCACAACACAAGGCTCTATGAAGAGAAACCCTCATACATGCGTGCGAAGTTTTTTAACGTCCTTCCCGTCCACTTGAAGTCTCTTCAACCCAGAAGACTGAAGAAAGAACTAAAGTGCTGGCTGTTACATAGACCATTTTATAGTCTGGATGAGTATTTGTCTTGGCAAGAACTTGAATAAATCATGTCTTCACTGCAAGAACTCTGATCAGCTATTTTTTATTCTTAAAAAATAACAATTTGTATTGACTTTTATATAACAACTGCACAATTGTATTGACACCCTTTCAATCTTAAAGATTGTAAATAAAGTATTCTTGTATCTTGTATCTTACAGTTCCATAGAGACCCTGCGATATGCTATCGGATGAATAACAATAAGTAAATAGGTACAGATGTTAAAACTCATCTAATTCCACAAATACGGTACTGGAAAGAACCGGTATGGATCACAAACGTAAACAAATGACATTTTTGGTCTGAAAATAAATTATTTAACATTGCTTAACCCTCAGAATGTTATGTGTCGAATTTGACACATAACACACTTTGTGTAGTGTTTTGTGTCGAAATTTCGACTCACAAACACTGTTTGCGGCGAAGGCTCTATGACTGACAAAATCGGATTGAACTGGATCGAGTTAGGTATCGTTTTATTTGGCAGATTCTAAGCTTTCTCCCGAGGTCTGTCTCTAAGCGCTTTTTTCTCTCAAGCCGATCTTAATTGTAGCAGACAGCTGACGTGCGTATTTGTAAACAGCTTGGTTAACCTCGCACCGATGACTGATGTGTTTTATTACGTTTATCATTGTTTTAGTGTTAAAAATCAAAAGTAGTGATATACGTGGTACATTATAAGAAGATTTAAGTGATTTTGAAGGGCTGGTTGATGATCCTGAAGAAGTAGGTAGTGATATTGATGTAAATTATCAGCCAGATTCCTAGCTATGGTTAGGCTATGCATACTTAGCTAAACGCTATGTACCGAAATCTGTTTTTTGCCCATAACTTATTTATTTGCAAATCTACTTCCTTATATTATTATATTTTTGGAATCCTCATAAAATTTAGAACAAAGTGGCTATTTTCAAATATTTATAGGCCTATAATTTATACAATTTCATTGAGCGCAAACTTATTTTTTATTTTTTTTTTTCCAAAATTTTTTTTTTACCTAAAAATATTTTTTGAAACAAATGTTCCTTATGTTTTATGTATATAATATTGAAGCCCATGATTTTCCAAACAAAATGGTATATAGAACAGTATAATTAACATTGTTTTTAAGCTTCTCAGATCCGTTTTAATAAAACCTTGCAAATGCGCAAAAAATAGGCAGACATTATGGCCAAAACTAGGGACACTCGGAGGGTTAAATGGAACTGCCAAAACATGTTAATTTAGGCCTAACTTATTTATTTATACACAGTAGCACCATTTATACAATAGTAGGTAGTTAGCATAATCAATTACAAGATGGCATAATTTACAACGACACTACATTACTACTTAGGTAATGCAATTAATAATAAAACAAAACTGAACTTGAAAAAACTTTGAGCAAGTATGTTATTTTAGGAAACAGTGGCGGTTCCAAGGGGGGGGGCTACAGGGGCTAAAGCCCCCCCCCTTGGACCATGAAAAAAATAAATTTAATCGTGCATTTCGTCCTTAAAACACGCAATGTCATTCAGATATCAATGTAGTTTTTATTAAACTTAATAAGCGATGGCAGGAGCATTATTAAGTTCCTCATAGATAAACTTTGTGGACAATATAGCACAACGAATTAAACAAAATTACGCTATGGAAAGTTGTACACATGATCATATTTTTACAGCAGTCAGCTGTTGACATGCTAGGGCCAAGGCGGGAGCATCTAGCGCGCGAGCGAGGACTGGGAAACAGCTGATTTCCTGATGTCCCATTGTTAGTTGTCAAATTGTCTGCTAGCATTGACTGATTGACTATATATACCTGCTATAGTTCGGCCGCTTAGAAAACGACCTCCTCCGGCATTGGTTTAGCAAGCGGCCGAGCTATAGCCACTAACTTTACACAGGCATCAATCAGCAATCAGCGGTAGCAAGCACCAGTAGCCAGTAGCCTATTACCATTGACTAATCTAGTGATAAAGTTTATATAGTCAATGCTTTTACTGAATTCGATACTATAGGTACCATTGTGACAGATCTATGAAATGGAGAAAAACGTAAGGTTAAAAAACGTGTCTACCTACTTGCTTTTCGTGACATAACAGGTGCAATGGAAGGTTTAAGAACAATTGGGCACAGTTCTATACGTTAGAAATGGCTTTATAAAGTCACCAAACGGCTTTTAGGAGATATGACTTTATTAATCTACATAGTAGGCCTATGTTTTGAAATTCATGAAATTCGTCATAGTTTGATTTTTTAAATGTCTACTTGCTCTTGACAAAGACAAATAACATGTGAAAAATGGGAGTTTTTTGTACAGATATAGACATTAAATGGCTTTAGAAAGTTAGTAAACAACTCTTAGGGGGATATAGCCGTAGCCTACAATATGTTTTGAGATGTGATGCAATCGTCATAGTTAGTTTTAAAAATGTTTACTTATTCATGACAAATAAATGGGAAAATGGGAGGTTTTGCACACAGTTCTAGACGTTAAAACTGGCTGTGGAAAGTCACCCAACGGCTTTTAGGAGGATATGGCCGTAGTCTATAGTATGTTTTGAAATTCATTAATGCAATCGTCATAGTTTAATTTTTATTTAATGTCTTTTTGCTTTTGACAAACAACAGGTGAAATGGGAGTTTATGGACAATTGGGCACGTCTCTAGGTGTTAAAAATTGCTTTAGAAAGTCACCAGACGGCTTTGAAAATTCCAAATTTTCCCGGGGGAGGACCCCCCGACCCCCCTGCTTTATTGTGGGGTGCTCCACACCACCCAAACCCCCCGGTAGCCCCCCCCCCCTTGGCAAGGTCCTAGAACCGCCACTGTTAGGAAAAACAACAGACAATAATAACAGGCAATGCTGAAAAAAAAAAAAAAACAATCAATAACAGGCAATGCTGACAAAAAAAAAAAACAATCAATAACAGGCAATGCTGACAAAAAAAAACAATCAATAACAGGCAATGAAAGGCTATAAATACAAGAGCTGCACTTTACTTTAGGTCCTACACTCATTCGAATAAAACTATTGATCAATATATCGATTATTCGATAGGCCTACATTGTTTGGTTAGTTAGGTAAGGATAACCTAACCTAACTAACCAAACGATATATCGAATGAAACAATCGTACAATCGATATTTTCATTCGGTTGTTTGTAGGACCTAAAGTAAAAGTGCAGCCAATACAAGCTATAAATAAGGCAAGCAATAACAGGCAATGAAAGGCTATAAATGACAGGTTAATTAATGCTATTAGTAGGCCTACAGGATTCGGGCCAACGTCATATGTTTAAGTTACATAGCCTAAGATGATCCACACTGGGGTTTTTCTAGTAGGTATTCGTGTCTGATTCAATATAAGTTATCGATTATTAAATAAGCTATTGTTAATTTTTCCCCAATGCAACATCAATTGATTTACGTTTTGTTTACATTTTTATTCATGTTTTTCAATAAAACTAATTTAACTAGCCTAACTTATATTTAACCAAAATCTGTAAGTCATTCAATTGGCTGCACTTTACTTGACGTCCTACACTCATTAGATTGGTTTTTTTTATTCAATATTTTCATTCGATTCTTTCATTCGATATATCGTTTGGTTAGTTAGGTTAGGTTAACCTTACCTAACTAACCAAACGATATATCGAATGAAGCAATCGATTAATCGATATATCGATCGATATTTTCATTCGAATGAGTGTAGGACGTCAAGTAAAGTGCAGCCATTCAATTTTCAATAGGCCTAGGCCTACTGTTGATTTTTAAGATAATATGGTAGGCTAACCACACAGAAATTTAAAACTCGTTGTTTCTTCAATTTTATTCCCAAATAAATTAAGTTATACACTACCGTAAGCTATCTAAGAAAAAACTAAAGAAAAAGCTATGATTTTTTGTTATTGTTTTTAAAATCATAAAATAAAATTACATCA